GGCCTATGACTGTATACTTATTTGAAATAAGAATTATAATAAAAAAAATCCAATGAAGTTCATAAAATAAAGTAAAAAATCACTTTATTATTATTATTATTATTATTATTATTATTATTTAAGTTACATATTTGAGCAAAAGTAACAACACAGATATTGGATAAAAAGAAAAACATCAGTAAAAAAAATTCTCGTAGAACAATATGAATAATCAATAATCGCTTCATAGGCGACCTTCTTTCTATTAATACATGACAAACAATAAAATTGCCACATATAACAACACTAAACTTTTTTTTGAAAGGAAATATGAAAAAAATATCACTGCATATTGAATTCATAAGTTGAGAATGATTTATCGACCGTTGATGGGAGTCTAAAGTTTGAACTCTCGAAAGAATGAAGGTTTTCAAAGAGACAAAATGTATGACCGCCAACAACACTCGAGCAAGAAGACTGCCAATTTGACGTCCTCTAAACTACTATTAGGAACTCAAATATAGTTTATTGAAATTTGGAAACAAATAAATAATTTGGATGAGATTTGAGAGAGATGGGCTCTAAAATAATTATATAAATTTGTTATGTTATAATTAAATGAATAAAAAGCCTTAAAGGCTAAAGAGATGTAAAGACTACAACAGATCCTACTTAAAATTAATGTATATATTCTTTTTTTGATGGAGCAACAATTGTGTTGCTTTTAAAAACTGCAATTGATCCTACTCAATATTAATGTATATATTATTTTTTTTAAACTTAGCTCTGTTTTAAATTTTTTATTTACATTTTAAATTTTCAAATTGTCAACAAAATTAAACATTAGGCCTAATTAACTGACCTTAAGAATTAAAGAGAAGCCTACTAACACTATACATAAAGAAAAAAATTTGGGCCTATTTTTTCTTCTATTTTTTTCCGGGCCTAGGGCGGTCGCCCCTCTTGCCCTCCCCCCCAGAACCGGCCCTGTGTTTAGATCTGATCTAGTCAGGTTTGATCTGAACTGGTGTAATACATGGCGGTTCTATGTGTACCTTGGAACTGTCGAATTCTGACTTGGTTTGATCTAATAATCTTCCTTGATATGTTCTATGTGTACTTTTGTTCATTATAAGACTTTTAGGTTTCAGATTTTCATGGCAATGGTACATAAATGAAAGAATTACTTTAAATACATTAGTTCAGGTTATAATGTTATTGTTTTAACATACATTAGTTATATCTTCAAGAGAAATTGAGATCTATTAGAATGTGATATTATCCAATAATTCTACAATGTGTGCACATTGCCTTTTGAGAAAGTCAACATCAAAGGTTTATGTTGCAATACATGTTCGGGCATTCCATGTTCGGGGGTCAGTAATATTTGTTTCAAAATTTTAAACATTCACCCCGTCTCATAAAATTATTCGCGATTTGACTTGGATCGGAGTTTAATTAAGAGAGTGAATAAAGTGAAAATGTATAGTTGTGGTTGAGTAGGAAAAAGGTAAATTAATGTTATTCACACAAAGCTTTCCAAAAAGGAAAATGTGGTGAATTTTTTGGGACGTTCCAAAAATGTAAGTGGAAAGAATTTAAGGGACATGGAAAGTATTTGATATAAAGGATGCATATATCTATGAATTAGAATATGACAGTATATTCTATATTTCTAATTAAGATAATTGAGTATGAGCAATGTCTATGTAATTGATATGTTATCGACAAAGTTTTACGTGTAAACCTGCTCTCTCAATTATAAACTTATATATAGTATGAATCATATGATAAATTATGAAAATTCGAGTTTACAAATATAGTGATATCATGAAAGTTGTATGGGTACAACTTAAAAATCAGAAAATGATTACCATACCTATAGGCTAGGCAATTCTATTCTAACTCAAGGGAATTGATTAGAGGTATTAAATTAACTCATAGGTATGAAAATGGTCACTTGGAGGTATTAAACATATTCTTACCTTAGGGAATTGCTTTATTAGCCCCCTAAATTTACTAAAGCTAACCCATGTAAGACAAATTTATCCTTTTTTATTTTCTTTTACTAAAAGTGCTTCTCATAACATTTTAGCGAGTTTTTCTCTTAGTCTTTAATTTTCTTTTTGGAATTTTTCCATTTGTATTTTATGGGTCAGGTTTTATGCCCCCCATACTTTTATTTTCTCATTTGCTATGTTGTCTCATGTATTTCGAGAAAGTATTCCTTCTTGGAAGAGTTTTTGGCCTAGTCCCCTTCTTCTCTTGTACATTTATTTTTTATCAAATAAAACTCGGTAAATGTTCTCTGACATTTATCCCACCAATGAATGGCTAGCGTACCGGGTTAAAAAATATCTAGTTTTTCCCCTCAAAATAATGCTAAATAAAAAAATATTTACAAAATCAAGATTGATCTAAAAAATCTCAAAAAACAATTAACTCTAGTTAACTACAGCCACCAACTGAGTTTTTTACTTTCTCCAAAAATCTGATGTTTTTTCACAAGCGAAGCTAGCAGACTTCATGGTGAAAATCATTTCATGGGAGCCCCCCAACAAAAAACCCACTCTATTTTTTAATATGCCTTTGTTGACACTTCCAGTCAATACATAAAGGGAAAACTGTCAAATAGGTTCTCGAACTTTCATAAAAAAGTCAATTAAGTCCTTCTATAGGACGTTCTGTCCGGTCGTCGCGATTTGGGGTGGTTCCCGGTGGAATTTTTTGATGAATTTTTTTGACCATCTTATTCATCAGGTCTAGTTTACTCATACCAAATGTCAGTTAAAAATTCAATCGGAAACACATTCAAATTAATCCGTAAAGATAACTGCGCATTTTTACGTTCTCGAATTAATTTGAATACGTTCCCAATTGAATTTTTAGATGAAATTTGGAATGAGTAAACAAGACCTGATGAATAAGATGCTCAAAAAATTTCATCAAAAAATTCCACCGGGAACCGCCCCAAATCGCGACGACCGGACAGAACGTCCTATAGGACTTAATTGACTTTTTTATGAAAGTTCGAGGACCTATTTGACAGTTTTCCCATAAATAAATTGTCTCCTAATTTTTTCCCGAAGCAAACCACCGTAGGTGGAGGAAATTACTCTTAATATGAAATTACTCTCCTAATTGCAGCATGGAATTACTCTTAATCTTAAAGCTTGGATCTATTTAAAAAAATGAGCCTAAAAACTTCAATCATTGGTATATTCAAAATTCTTTTTTATTTTTACATATGTAATATTAGTATTTAGTTTCATATGAAAGATAATAAAAATTCATGAATTTTGATACTTTTTTATAAAAATCAAATTACAAATCAAAAAGTTATACTATCGTATCAGTTTAAAAAAATATTATTTTAGTAGCTATGAGATTCATGAGTTGAGTGCAATTCTAATTTCTACTGACTGACTAGTGTCTTTATGTTTTCTGATTTGATTCAATTTGAGTGGTTGTTTTTAAATAATTTTTTAGAACTTAATATGTGTTTATTTACACTTTCAGTCAATAAATAAATTGTCCCCTAATTGTAACATGACATTACTCTATAAAATCATGAGATGTTAATTTTAAAGCTTGGACATATTTAAAAAAAAATTGAGCCTAAAAACCTCCATCTATGATATATTCAAAATTCTTTTTTATTTTTACATATGTAATATTGGTGTCATATGAAAGATAATAAAAAATCATGAGTTTTGATATTGTTTTTATAAAAATCAAATTAGTTATATCAATTTTAAAAATAGAGATTTTTTTGTTGGAGATTCCTTAGTTGAGTACAATTCTAATTTGTAATCAACATAGTAGAATACTTCGTAATTGTCAAAATGAAAGTCTAGAATGCTTCATATACATCCTAACGTAGTACGGAGTAATAACAAACTCTAATAACAATTCTAATTTCTATTATAGAATATTAAAAATTTGCTTAGAAAATGACACATGACAAAACTTTTCATAATTGTATCTTTCAAATGTATTATCTATAGATGACAAAACTTTCCATAATTGTATCTTTCAAATGTATTATCTATAGATATGAAAGAGCATAAAATATCATATTTGCAGTGAAGCTTTTTTAAATATTTCAGGTTACTTCATTTTTTTTTCTCATTTCTTTTTATTGAATTAATCCTATTATTTAGATTTGGATAAATATTGTTTGTAATTTTGCCTTCATTTAGTAAAAAAAAAAACTGGATACGTCCTTGCCTCTATTTACCCCTAGTTGAGGATGATCACTTAAGAAAAGGGATACCCCAATACATCTCACACATGACACATCCAATCAAACAATTTATGATAGTTAAAGGAAATTAAATTTTGTACATTTCTGATAATTTTGTCATCTTTTCTTAATTCTAAAATAATGTTACTTTGTGCTATTTCTATTCATTTTTTCTTTTTTTACAAAAGTCTCAATCACATAATCCTTACTTTATGATTTTACATGACGGTTAAATCATTAAACTCTTGTGAAGTTAGTAGCAAAGTTATTAAGGGAGTGTTTGCGATTGCTTCTATTTTAAAAAGTGATTTTTTAAAATGATTTTGGAGAAAGTGATTAATAGTAAAAGTTGATAGTATTTGATAAAATAAGTGCTTTTGTGTAATAGAAAAAGTGAAAAATTGTTTAAAACATCTCCAACTGCTTTCAACTTTTAGCTTTTAAGTGCTTAATTTAAGCACACACTCCCTAAAAGTTAGAACAGCTCCTACTTCGATAAAACCTACTCCCTCCGTCCCGTAATCAAGTTCCTACTTTCCTTTTTGGGATGATCAATATTAAAGTTCCTACTTCAAATCTTTCCTTATTTGGCAAATGATTTACACCAAAACAGTGACAAACAGTGTTTAAACAGTGCCAAACAGTATTCAAACAATGCACTCTACAGTAAAATCAAATTTATTTCTTAATATGTGTGAAGTCAAACTAGGAACTTAATTAAATACGGGAGTGGTATAAACATAAAACATGTACCTTCTTTTATTTGCCGGGTGACAGAAGTTAGAATAGTTGAGCTTTTTTTACACAAAATTAGGGCATCACTTTTCGACTTTGAACACTTCCTCATTTTTTTTTCAATCACTTTCAATTTGGAGACTGCTTTTCTCGGCTGGCAAAGTTCTCACTTTCTACAAACCTCTTTTTCATGCTTTGTATAATTTGATTCAGCGTCCGCTCTGGTGGACTCTCATCTTAACCGCTTTCTTCCCACTCCAGTAACCTAAGTAAGTTGTATTACGTATATCTTGTTCTCAGCTAGTCAACCCCAAAGTTATCATCTTGATCTTACTAGATTTCTCCATTACGTCTTCTTATGCGTCTTGGGAAAAATCCAATTTGTTCAATTTTCTGATTCTTTATTCTGAATTTAAAGTTCAAGTTGCTTTAGAACCCCACTCAATTAATTAGCGATATCTTGTTTTTTTATATGTGACTGGGTATAAGAGTTACGGTCTGTTCATCTGCTGATTTTGCTATGAAAGTTGAGTTGCGGGTTGGATATTGGTTGCGATTTGATTATTTAACTTTCTGCTTATGTGTATTCTAAATCTCTAAAAATATCAATTTAGCTTTGCTGATTTCTGGGAGTTATGTTGACTGGTGGCCTGGTGGGAATGGACTTCAGATGTATTTCTTCAAAACTGCATTCTTGTTGCTTACGTTTCTTCACTTGTGCGATCAAATCTTCTTGAGTTTAATACCTTTGTTAGTATCATTTTTATTTAGAACCAAATTATGTATGATAACTACCTTAAGTCCAAATTACAGAAGGCGGGGACCAAATTAAGCCCAAAAAAGTCGAGGACTAAATTGAGTAAGAATATAATTGATAATTTATGGGGGGGATACGAATCTGATTTTTTAATTGAATTCTTGCAGCAAGACAAACATTGTTGGTTTCTCAATTTCTCCATGGCTGTGTGTATTTATGTCAACACTAATAAAGCAAATTTCTATTGAACTAACACTGCTAAAATTAGGGTTGAGCACAACCGAAGTAATCACAATGAGTCTATGCCGAGCTGAATAACTGCATATTGGGTTTGGTTGGTTCCAAGTAACTGACACAGACCAACCGTAGTGATCACTTCAAATGACTGGATAACTGCATATCCGTTGTGCTCAATTAAGATTAGTCCAACTATCTTCTGCATTTGTAGGTTCAGTCACTTCAGTTGGCTCTTCATTCGGCATTCCAAATTCTTTTTGCCCCTTCCCCCACCCCGGTTTCTACTCTAACAGACTCCACTTCTCTTTGTTACTCACCCTCCGATTCTCTTACAACTTATGCATCTTTATCCTTCATTCCCTCCCTCTTCTGCTTACTTGATGTCCTTTGTCCAGTTTACCCAGATGGCATCCGGTTTGTTTCTTGTATCTCAGTGTCTGATGTCAATGGTCTCACCTTTCCCTTTACATTGATCCCTGTTGATTTACTCACTGATCCTCTTGAGGTTACGTGTTTTTAAAATGTCTTGGCAGCTCATGCATTAGTTGCTTCAAAATAATGTTTTGGTGTTGAACTGTTAAATGACTAATTAATTTGTATTTGGTTGTTGGGAAATCCAAAATGTTTGTTGCTTGAAGTTGTTCAGTCATAACCTGAAACCGGGACTTTAAAATAAAGAATTGAAAATAAACGAACACTTTTTTAAAAATAGTGACTGGCTTAAAACCAACCGAATTCTCATCCCTAGGTACTGTATTTGCTAAAAGCTCAAATAGGTCCTTTAACCACTCCCAAATGTTTAATTCACCCCTTCAACCAAAAAGCTCCCATGGTAACCTCAACTTGCTAAAAACTTGAAATCTCACCATTTTATAAGGAAGCAGTTTATTTCCACTCAGTAGGTGTATGGCCATGTGGCAGCTTACTGGACACCCACATGCAACCATCTTCATTAAAAATCTTAGCACCAACCCTAGTTATAGGAATTCCATGATTTTATGTACAAAGAAACCTGAGGCAGGGAGTGCTAATCCTATCTCATACCTGAGGCAGGGAGTGCTAATCCTATCTCATACTGTTAGGGAAATTGCCACAGAGCTCTTCCATAGTTGCTACTCTGTGTGAGTCTTTTTGCAAGGTTTTCCATTGAAAGGAATAATCCAGATCAAAGCTATTGATAGACACCTAGTCCTCTTCCATAGAGAGATGCATGATAAAGAAATGGGCAACTAGTCACACGGGTTTGCAGTGCATGACATCAGGTGGTGTCTCACGTAGGAATGGCCTTATTTTGGTGAGATTGCCAGTTTATGGGTGGAGCTTGAGGAGAAAAAACAGACGAAGATGGGGTAGGAGTATTATAATGCTTTTTTACCCATGTGGTTTCAAGTAGAACAAACAGAGCTAAACATCTTTTTTTTGTTTGTTTTAAAAAATATATATGAGTAGAAGATGGATTAGGAATATGGTGAGGCTACGATAGTTACTTTTGCATCCAATAAGCTGCATTGTGATTGTGGGCACATACCCAGTGAGTAGAAAAGAAACTAGTTCGTAACCTGTAAATGGAGAGATTACGGTTTTTTTTTACAAGTAGGAGGTTACAATCGGGGTTTGCTTTTGTTGAGGGGGTGAATTGTCGGAGTAGTATAGCCATACAGGGAATAATTTCGTTAGAGCAACTGTTGTTCTCTTAGAATTTATGTGTGTGTGTATCTTTCATTCTCTATTGATGGGGATAATTTTGGTTGTTGATCGTCAGGTGATTCATAAAGAAGTTGTGTGAGTAGGACAATTTCTACTTTTTGACTGATATAAGTGAGGGTGGTGTGTGTGGTTCATGCAAAAGACACCATGCAGCTCTATCATCATCCCTATTCCTTGGACAGCCAAAAAGTCAGGCTTGCTTTGGAAGAGAAGGGGATTGATTACACATCACATCATGTGAATCCCATTACTGGCAAGAATTTGGATGCCTTTTTCTTCCGTATGAACCCAAGGGCTAAACTTCCTGTTTTCCAGAACGGTTCCCACATCATATATGATACTGTAGAGATAATTCAGTAAGTATTACCTTCTCTTGCTTATCTAGATTTATGAACTAAGTTTGGAATAATTCACCTTTGTTCAAGTCATTTGTTACTTTTGATTCCACCGTCATGACCAAAAGTTGAAAAGTTTGAAGTCGGGAAATAAAAGTGAAAATGAAATAATAGTCGTGCGACCAAGAGTGAAACATTACGTCCTCTCTATTTAAAATTTCTTGATTCCTTTTTGGATGTCCCAAAATAGAGTCATCTTTCATAATTTGGTGAAAAGATCATATCAATTTACTCTACAAGTCTACAGTAATATTTACCCCTTGAAGAAACAGCATTTCTGGAAGAACAAAATCTGATTTCTTTGTTCCGTTAATGTTGAAGTAAGACCTTCTTTAAGAAACAGGACGATTAATACTTATGTGTAAGGAAATGTGTTTGTTAACCTTTCCTTTTTTGCTATTTAAACAAGTCAAAAGCTACTTATTATGATTACTATATGTTGAGAAATAAAATAAGTCACCACTTCTGAATACTAAACATTTTACAGGTATATTGAAAGGATTGTAGAGAAAGCGGCTTCCGGTGGCAATGACTTAAATGCGAGCAATCAAGAAGTTGTGGAATGGATGCGTAAGATTCAAGTGTGGGACCATAAGTATTTTACGCTCATCCATGTTCCAGTGAAGCATCGTCTCCACATTTCTAAATTTTTAAGACGCATAATAATTGCCCGGATGGCTGAATGTCCAGACTTGGCAAGTTCTTATCATCGTAAGCTAAGAGAGGCATATGAGACCGAGGAAAAGTTAGGGAATGCAGAGGTCGTGAGACGGAGTGAAGAACAACTTAAGAAGCTTTTGGATGAAGTTGAAGGCAAACTGTGTGAAACTGCTTATTTAGCTGGGGAGGAGTTCAGTTTGGCAGATGTGATGCTAATCCCCATCCTGGCTCGAATAGAGCTGTTAAACTTGGAGCTTCAGTTCATTAATACAAGACCTAATCTGGCGGAGTATTGGGCTGTGGTGAAACAGAGGCCTAGTTATAAGAAGGTGATTGGAAGGTACTTTGATGGATGGAAACGGAAGAAAACCCTAGTAAAAACATGGTGCTTTGTCACACTCAGAGGCATGCTGCGAAAATACTGAGGGTAAAAGCGTCTCACATCCTATGGATGGGGAAAAACTGTACTCAGAGTGACTCTTGAAGGTTTTTTACCTGTGTACTGCTAAAAAAGTCAAATTGGCTTCATAACAGATGTAATAGGAGGGAAAAGATCCGATGTACAGAGTCAGAAATATTAAGTTTGTGGTGCTGTAAAATTTTCCGTTATTTTTCCTGGAAAATGTTTGATAATTTATTATTTGAACTGTGTAAAAGATTTATAATTTATATGCATTATGGGAGCTTGTTTATTTAAGCAGCTCGAGTGCATGACAACCTTTTCTTTATTGATTATTGTGACTAAAAATGCAGCAATCAATGATCAAGAATAATAGGTATCATAATTAAATCACCCTTTTTGCATACATTAAAAATGAATCAACACATGAATAATCTTTTGTGACGTTTGCTTTCAAATAAATAACAAACATCATCAATAAAAAAATCCATACAAATTGATAAAAATTCAAAATAATAAATGGGGCTGGCAACAGCATCTCCTGAGATGCAACTGATTACCTGTTTGTCTATGTGCTCAGTCAATGCTAAGATCGACTCTCTAAAGCTGCAAAGTTAAAAATTAAGTCTTCTAATTTGCATCTGAAGTTTTTACCAAGTAATAGAGAATTGAAATAATAAACACATTTGTGTGAAAAAAATACCATGCTCATACTCAAATCAGCTGTACTTGAATGTTCCATTATTACATGTTCATTTATTGTTATATAAAGTAAATCTCACAGCTAGAATTGGCATTCTTCAAATCACACTAGAACTAGAAGTATTTAGTCATTCAAAATAAAAATGTAACAAGTGACTATAATATGCAATGTTCTACATACTTACAAACCAAATAAGTAATACCCAAAATAATGCAACTTAGGAATGAGAGCCTTAGAGCATGATTATGGCACTGCAAAACTGGAAAGTCTAACTTTTTAAACCAACCTCTCCACTCCAGGTTGAGAGGGGACCCAATTAATATGCTCAATTGTAAGGATCTCTCTGTTGAGGTTTATTCCTTCAACCCTCAGGCCCAACACGTAAGCCCGAAGATTTCGAATGGAGTGGGTGTATGGATATGTGAATATCTAGCCCAACAGCTATCAGATGGATCAGGAAACAGGGGATATAGTAAGCAATGTAAATAGGTATTATTAACTTCGTAATAACTCCCCTAAGTACAATCTACTTGCTAAAAAAAAAGGCATGTCGGCCGTTCGTCTTGCTAGGCAGTAATCTCAGCTGCGAGCAAGGGAAGTAAGCTAGAATGCTAAGAATAGAAAGTTGTCAACCCTTTACAATGAAATAAATGCTTCTATTTATACCCACCAATGGGCAGGTGGTTATACCGACGTGGCAGCCTGTGGACCGCTGGTGCCCCAACCACCAAATCTTCAGCATTAAATGCACTTCCCGCCAGAATCTAGGTTTCCCGCCAAATCAGTGGGGACGTTCATCCGCCCGGGAAGCGAGTTGGATCGCTCCAAGTGACCCTCAAGAGGTACCGGCTGTTCGTCTCCTGGTCTTAATGGATACTCACCATGTGGACTAGCGTTCCTCCGATGACCATAGGCTTGCTCTGGAGACGTTCGTCGTCATCCCCGGTGGCCCGTGGCCCTGCTCCTTGTCCCTTCACAGACGTTCGTCGGGATGAGCCGTTGGGCCTGAACCCCCAACTCCAGACGTTCGTCCCTCCCCAAGGAACATGGGCTTGCGGGCTAGCCTTGAGTTCTAACTGGACGTGCGTCTGGTAAAAAGGGGTTAATGGGCCGGACCTCGGCTTGGGCCCTTAACCCAACACTCTCAATGCCAGATATTCCAGTACCTGAACGGGAGCAACCAATAATCAACCCTAAGGCTTTGTTTTATTGTGAAGAACTAGGAAGAGAAGATATGAGAGAGAAATAGGAGAGAAAAGTATAATCTCCCTTGTTTGGTTAGGATAGACATGTTTTGAGCATATTCTATTTCTTCTCTCATTAAGAGAAATAAGAGAAATACATTCCTAATTCTGAATCATTTTCTCTCTTGCATTTCTATTCTAATAAGCATCACTTAAATCAAGCACTTCATTAGCATGGCATGATAAAAGTTAAAAAAATGAAGACAAATGGAAAGATGGAAAGAGGAGTTATAGATGATTGCCATCCAAATGGACCTGTGTGTGAGAACTTTTCGGGAAAATAACCATTGAAGTGACGTCATGAACTGATGTGTTGATAAACTAAAATGACGTCACGTGACTTAAATCTCATTTACCTTAAGCAGCTTTCGAAGAATAGGTGTCTTATTGAATTCCCTCCTATATCGCTTCATTATGTTGTGTAACATCTGCAAACCTAGTAAGTACCAATAGAAAACCAAATTTGCAGTTTTCAAACATCATATACATTATTTTACCAGAAAGTTAAGGGAGGGCATGCAATAATAAGTTCACAAGTTCCTACCATTCTTATTGATGATGTCAACCAAAACTGTCCTCGACTTGGTCTTCAAGAGCGCACCAAGGATCATAGAGAGCTCTCGGTTGCTACAAAAGATATTCAGATATCATGACCAGCACATGTAGCAAAGAAAGAGTATTACACCAACAGGGAAAAGGAAGTAATCTTCTTAATTACCTTGAATTGCTTCTCCATTACCAATATCCCCAGAAGCAGCAGTCAAAAGTAGGAGCTTTAAGTAGTACCTTGGTGCATCCTATTTCAAACAAAAATGATCTTTCGAATTTAACTCAGCAGAAAAGATAAGAGCTCTTTTAGAGTGCAAAACTGACACACTTTACTATATGAGCATAAAAACTTGAAGCTAAACACAGGAATCAAGTTCCAGTCTCTGAGCAACGAAATAATGAAAATGGTCATAATAACTAATTCAGCTCATAAAGTAAACTGTACTATAACAAAAGTACTTACAATAAAGTAAAAAATGATTTACATTTATCCTCCATCATTTGCAATGGAGCCAAAGATTCACTATTTTTTGGCTTGTGAATATGATGGAATAAAGCAAAATGACTCACTAAACCGTCTGTGCTTTTTTGTTATGAAGCAGCAGTCAGCTCATGAAATTTCCGACGCGATTTTCACCACGGGTCATCCGGAAACAGTCTCTGTGCTTTCGTACAGGGGTAAGACTGCATAAATCCGACCCCCCTACCCCACTGTAGGTGGGAGCCTTTGCGGCACTGGGGTAAGGGGAGTCGGATATACGCAGCCTCTCATATGATGACTCTGATTAAGTGATTGTTGATACCCCTTTTAATTCTCCTTCGGTCCCTTAAAATTTGGCCAAGTACAACTGACATGGGAAATAATAAAGTAAAAAATATGTGGTTGAAGCTTGCACAAAGGAGAGAGAAGTATCTGGAACCATAATTTAATTTATTAAAAGGGAAAATATTGTTTTTGGGACAACACAAAAAGAGATATTGCAAAGTTATAAGGGACGGGGAGATTATTAATTAAGTTATCTTTTGTCAATATATATATATAGGATGTGAATACTACTATACCGTGCTCTTTTAATTTTGTGAACCTATTAACAAATTGGAATTATTGTTGTGTATATATATATATATATGTGTGTGTGTGTGTGTGTGTACATATGTCAAAATGTCCCACACCGAAAAATTGAGAAGCATTAGAGTGCTATATTAAGCTTCGGGCTACTCCTCCTAATAGGATTGACCTTTTAGGATGGAACTCCGGATCTTAACATGGCATCAGAGCCAAATCGATCCATGGTGTAGGTCCCCTTATGAAAAATGACGACACGATAAAAAAAATTGCCGAATCGATGAAAAAATGAATGACGACACGATCCAGACGAAGTGTCTGGTTGTAAGGAGGGGTGTTAAAATGTCCCACACCGGAAAATTGAGAAGCATTAGAGTGCTATATTAAGCTTCGAGCTACTCCTCCTAACAGGGTTGACCTTTTAGGATGGAACCTCGTGTCTTAACAATATATATATATATATATATATATATATATATATAAGTATGAATTATATTTGCAAAAGGCATAAAAGCAATGATTGTTGGTGTCAATTTAGGATGTTTTTACTTGGACTGTAATTTGTCCCAGACCAGACCAGATCAGACCAGACCAGCAACAACAACAATAGTACCATATATATTAAAACTACTACATAATAATCATTAACATGAGATCAATTCATATGATTTCAGATAAATATAAAAAAGACTCCAAATAGATTTGAATATTCCAAATTAGGAATATAGCTTGGATTATAAAGATCAAGTTCAAACCATATTTGTAAGATTTATATATTATTAAAACAGTTTGAATGATTGAAAGTAAACGAATTGAGTGAGTTTTTTTATCTTTTATGACAGTGACTCACAATGCTGATTCCATTCTCTAGAAAAGTCTCACTATGAAGCTTGATCTAAATATATTTGTTAATTAGAGGTCTCCATCCAACTGTATGGAATTTTACCATAGTTTAGTGAAAAGTATCACAATGAAGTTAGGTGTGGTTTATTTCAAACTGTCACAAACATTAGTTTAGTGAAAAGTAGAGAAAGAATATACAATTGCATGTAATACAACTAATTAGTGGCGTAGTTGGAGATGAAATTGGGGTGACTTGGATGAAAAGTTCATTCATATAAATTTTCACACAAAAGATTTTTATGTGTAAAAATAAAGGATTTTACCAAAAATATGTGAAGTTGGGCCCAAACACATGTTCCCCCGACTACACCCACGTAGCTAACACTATTTCCGGCTCTTCTCTTACAGTACAAATTAAAAGCTGCCGCTTCAAGTGGCGGTTCTTCTCTTGCATTACAAAAGCCGCCACTTAGGGTGACGGATCTTCTCTTGCAATACCACACCAGCTTATTCAACGGGAGAAAAAAAACACAAAAACTTGCTCAGTAACGTACAATCAACTCAGAAACATTAAACGACTACTATTTATAGTCAATATAGAGCGGACCATGCCATCAGCACGTAAAGCAATAAAATGTTATCTCAACCAAGGCATCCTCAAGGCGGACCCCCAAATATATGTCCCAAGATGTGGCCATACTCCTAGCAATCTGTGTACCTAGCACAAGCAATCAGCGCACATGCCCCCGACCTCAGTACTTTACATTATTGTGTTAAATACTTGTTTGAACAAGTTGATCGAATTGTTTTTTGAAACATTGGATTTATTATAAACTTTATGTGATATTTCTGGTATTGTGATCCAATATATTTCATTGACTCCTTTTGTGTCTCAGATATGTTTTGTTTTTTAGTGCTCTATATTGACTATAAATAGTAGTTGCTTGATGTTTCTGAGTTGATTGTATAGTACTGAGCAAGTTTTTGTGTTTTTTTCCGGTTGAATTAGCTGATGTGGTACTGTAAGAGAAGAGCCGCCACTTGAAGTGACAACTTTTGTACTGTAAGAGAAGAGCCGCCACTTCAAGTGGCCGCTTTTGTACCGTAAGAGAAGAGCTGCCACTTCAAGTGGCGGCTTTTGTACTGTAAGAGAAGAGCCGCCACTTCAAGTGGCGGCTTTTGTATTGTAAGAGAAGAGCCACCACTTGAAGTGGCAGCTTTTCTTAACCACGGTTAACTCCAGCGGTATTTTGGGAATTATTTTTAACCCAACAGTATTTTAGGAATTATTTATTTAATTAGCATTATTTTGGGAAAAACTCATTCGGGACCTGGAAGATAGGTTCATTATCATTAAGAGACCTGAAAGATAAAGTGTGTCGATATAGTGTTCACATGGTTGAGTCAACATAAGACCTATAATTCCGTGAATTTTAATATTTTTTATCTTAAAAAACTAAATATCATTTAATCTCATAAAAGTAATAAAGTCTTGTGAAGAATAAAACAATAAAAAATAGCAAAGGAATTAATAAAAATTAAATAGATCAAAACCTACCATATTTTAGGTCTTAGATTGATAGTTTTCAATCATTCGGGTCCTATATCAACACATTTTATCTTTCGAGTCCCTTAGTGATAGTGAACTTAGCTTTCACGTCCTGGATTGATAAAATTCCTATTTTAGAAGACTAAAAAATACTTGATACAAAATAACAAACTGATATTTAATATTTTGGATTACTTCTCCTATCAAGTTAACTTCTTAAAATAAAATTTCAAATCTCATTGTGACATCATACCCATGTTTGGTTGTGATTTGATTAGTTGTTTGCTTTCATGATTTAAGATTGGTTTAGAGATATTGTGAAATATCTGTCCTAGCACATGTTTAGTATAATATATTTAATTAATATATATGAAATTCTTGACTGCTCTTCCAGATAAGTTAAACTTTTTATACATAACTCTTAGTTTTAACCGATCATAATGACAATCACAATTGTGATTGTGTTGCAATCGACCTTAACATTTATTGTACATTGATTTGTGTCCATTTATTTAGTTTGTTATTTTATCAATACATACTTTTGCAATTAGATAATATCTCTTGTGGTTTTTAGCACACGCAAAATTAACTTTCCATGCATCTAAAAATGGTTCATAACATTTCAAACATCAATGCTTGTTATAGAACTGACAACTTCTTTGTTAACATTTGATACTGTAACATCGATAGTTGAACTGTTTCTTAACTCGCCTCTTTTCCCCCACAAGTAACTGTATAATCCAGCAATCATGAGTATCATTCCTAACAAGCTGCAAATTACAATATTACAGTCAAAGTAAAAAACATCCTTAATACTATGTAATACTACGTATACAATATTGTTTCTTTTGTAATACTCCCTCCGTCCCCAAATGAAGTTGAGCATTGCTTTTCACACATATTAAGGAAAGAAATTTACTGGGGGGTAAATTTTACTGTTTGGGCACTGTTTGGACACTGTTTGGACACTGTTTGGCACTGTTTGGCATTGTTTGGCACTGTTTGACACTGTTTTGATATAGATAAATTGCCAAATAAGGAAAGGTGAACTTCATTCAGGGACTACCCAAAAAGGAAAGGGTGAACTTGTTTCAGGGACGGAGGGAGTAATAATTAAACGCTAATTATTCTTTATTGAGTGGGTTTACATGATAAGATATACTTTAATCAATTCAAAGTTATTATATTAGTTGCTACACATGACTTTTAATTAGTTTGCACAAAACATTTTAAAAGATACGTAATTCTTACATTCCAATTGTGAAATCCTCGCCAAAGAATATAGCTTCAATAATAGCCACAAACACTACAGAGAGAGGATCAAACATGGAGGGATAAGCTGGTCCTTTCTTTTCAACAGCCCAAATAATCAAATAGAATGATGCCGCTGAAGCCAATGCACCCTATTACAATTCAAAATTAGTAAAATAAAGTAACCGCTATATATGCATTTGAGTTTCAATAAGAAGAACTGTGATGTAAATCGAGCATAACTATTAAGTTTCAACATTAGTAAAATAAAGTAACCACTATAATACGTCACCCTATTACGTCACACGGGAGGAGTGATGAATTAAAATTTCAAGTATGTCAAGTTTGTTACACTAATACATACTCTGTATATGTAAATTAATAATGAATTAGAGAAGATCCCGTGTAATGTAAATCGAGCATAACTCAAAGTTAGCGTACTAATTAGATATCTATTTTATTTTCATATCAATGCTTTATAACAAAATTCTGGAAGATTGGAATAGCTCATTATCGTATACCTCTCTATTCCACTAGAGTAATAGACTTTACAAACTTTTCTTTTTGTGCATTACCTCAAAAACTTTGACAATTTCCCTTCTAAAATGTTTAATGGGAAAACTGTCAAATAGGTCCTCGAACTTTCATAAAAAAGTCAATTAAGTCCTTCTATAGGAGACTCTGTCCGGTCATCGCGATTTGGGGCGGTTCCCGGTGGAATTTTTTTATGAAAATTTTTGAGCATCTTATTCATCAAATCTAGTTTACTCATACTAAATTTCAGCTAAAAATTTAATCGGGAGCGTATTCAAATTAATTCGAGAAGGCAAAAATGCGCAGTTATCTTCAAGAATTAATTTGAATGTGTTCCCGATTTATTTTTTAGCTGAAATTTGGTATGATTAAACTAGACTTGGTGAATAAGATGCACAAAAAATTTCATCAAAAAATTCCACCGGGAACTGTCCCAAATCGCGACGGCCGGACAAAACCCCCTATAGAAGGACTTAATTGACATTTTTATGAAAGTTCAAGGACCTATTTGACAGTTTTCCCATGTTTAATTTAATTTGTGGTTCTTTTTATTTGTCCCTCCTATATACAAACCTGAATCGTAATATTCTTAGTTTCTTATTCAGTTATTCCATGTGCGCAAAAGTCAAAACAAGCAATCTCCAATACTCCCTCCGTCCCTAATAACTTTGCCAAGTTTGACCGGCACGGAGATTAATAAAGTAAAAACTGTGTGGTTGAGGTTTGTACAGAGGAGAGAGAATTAACAGGAACCATAAATTCTTTACTTAAATGAGAAAGTGGCAAAGTTAATGGGACATCCAAAAAAGGAAAGTTGGCAAAGTTATAAGGGACGGAGGGAGTATGACGTAAGAGAGCATATTAGTTTTTTTATATACTCCGTACCAAATCAATATGAGGTGAATACTTCAATAGTGTTCATAATAAATTTTAAATGAATACAAAAAGGTTGAATAGTGTAAAAATATTACCGAAAAAAGAACATTGACTAGCTTCACATTCCAACCTAAACTCCATGAATTCCCACTTCTATCCAAACATATCCCCAGAATTGCTGTTTGTATTGATGCTGTTACGCAAGTTAGAAAATTTCCCAAATTCTTTGATGGGAGTACCTTTAGCAGTCGGGCCTAATAAAGATGATAAAAAATAAATTTAACATGTATAGAGAGTAAAAGTGCAAATATATCAACAATCTTGTAGTATCATAAAAACTAGAGGTGCTCATTGTTTATATTCGGTTGATAATTGAATTGGTTAATTTCATTCCAGATCTTACAAATACAACGATAAGGCAAATCGAATTAGTAGGTCAATTTATAGTCATTTTCACTTAGCTTGGGACAAAATCAGTTGGTTTAGTCAGTTTTAAATCTTAATTTTAAACACACGCAAGACCGAGTTCTATAATTTTAGAGATTTCTATTTTGCGCTACTAAATGTAAATCATGGTTGATATACTCCATGTCTTAATAAAACGAGGAATTAACTGTCTTATTGTGAATTGTAAACTATGGTTGCTATATTGCATAGAGTGTTTTACTAAAATAAAATATATTTACACAGATTAATAATTAATACAATATAGTGTTATGTTAACTTAAATTTAAAAATTGAACATAAGTTACCATGATTACATTACTACTCTAACCATTGGTCACATTTTTGTAAATAATATTTTATTTAGTCATAAATAAGTAAATATTTCAATTGCATATTAGGATGTTTTTACTTGGACTGTAATTTGCTGGTCTGGTCTGGTCTGAACTGGTCTGGTTTGGTCTGGTAAGGTCTGGTTTCTTTGTATTTTTATAACTATCCAAGTCTGGTCTGGTCTCGTCTGATCTGGTCTGAACTGGTCTGGTCTGGTCTGGACTGGTCTGGGGCAAATTACAGTCCAAGTAAAAACATCCTTAGTCAAATTTGAAAATAAATCAACTAATATATTACTGTAAAATGAAGAAATAACTTGTCTTTTTGGCTATTCATTTTTATTATGGTTAGTTTTACGTATTAACTTTTGCAAGAGTGAGCCTTATCAACACTCTTCTCCGATAAGATGAGACACTTCTATTTGTAAATTATACCTGTGCAATAAACCATAGGGCATAACCGAGACAACTAGAAACCAATAAAATGGTGCCACGTGTCCAATGTTGACTTGTTTTGCTTACAATGGATGTAACCTCCTTATGATGAGAGTTGAAATGAAAGAATGGCAACGATATTCCCTTATATAGACTAATAACCAGAGCCCCTCCAACACAGAGGAATGCACCTACAATTTTAAATCGCCCCCATCGACTGTTCAATTTCAGAGTCTCCATTCTGTAGCCATAGTGATCACAAGAAATATTTTTAAAGTGCTAATTGATAATAAAAAGAAGAGAAGAAGATTTATTTAAAGTTGCTAATTGGTAGTTGTTAATAAAAAATGCTTATAACTTGTTTGGTTATGGGATATTGGAAACGAGAATATGAAAAAAAAATGATTTTTTCCAGTACCACTATATCTATTTTGTAACTAGTCATAGACTTTAAATATTTGCACGGCCTTAAAATTAGTTTTAAATATTTGCACGACCTTAAAATTAGTTGTTGTTTTTAAAGAGAAACATTATCTCTTGTTTAATTAAACATTATCTTTCTTCCATTTTAGTCTCTATTTGATATGTAGACTTGTAGAGTCACATTTTGTTTACTTTAATTATTGACCATGACAGTGTGACACCGTTATATTAAAAGTCCAGGCGATCCGGCGGCGGCAGGAAGCAATCCAGGGGCAGCAGTGGGTATTTTGGTCAAATCACACATAAAAAGTCCTATTTAAGAATGTTTAAACTAATTGGTCCTATTTTGGAAAAAAAATGTCATGTTTTGCTCCTATTAAGGTAAATCTCCCTTTCAATATTTGTTTTTCAAATTTAACTCAAGTGTGCAATTTCAATATTTACAAAAAAATAATTCACATTTTTTATTTTTTATATCGGAATGTTTGACTTTTTAAATCATAATTATTGGTAAAAATAAAATTGTCACATAAATGATTTATAATAAAAAAAGTAATGATTTATGCATTTAATTAAAAAATGTGTTGAGTGAATATATATTGACAGTGTTGAATTGCAGGGAAAAACTGAATTTACTGGCTGAATTCATATAAACGGGTGTTGAATTAGATTTATTGACGGACTAGGTGCGGTTAGCCTTATACCATGAAAATATTATATACGGAGTATGTAATTAAGTCATTCCACACAGGCTAGGTATAAAGATACAAATCAAAATACACAGCTTTGGACTACTTTACTATCTTGTTGAACTTTTAGGGGGAACTTCAAATGTTATATTAGAACTGATTAAGCTACAACAGTCCTCATAAGCCTTAACAATGGCTTTACGGCTTGGAGCAAAGTTGAGTCTTCAAACACAAAATATAAAGATATAAATCAAATAGTACGGAGTATATGTTTTTGGACTACTATTCCTATAATTTATGAAACATCAAGTCATAACATAACTCTTTAAGGTCATGTTAGACTTTATTAATGCACAATTATAAATGTCATGGTCAAAGATGGAAACTAGAGGCGTTGGCAATCATAATAAGTAATTTAACTGGAACATAAATAGTATTTATTTATTTATTTATTTATTTATTTATTTATTTTTTTATTTATTTATTTATTTATTTATTACTAAGTAAATATAAGCATAAATTTAAGATATCATCCATTTCCTTAATTCACAAACTTTTACTTACCGAACAACCACAGAAAGGAAGAAGGTTACTATAGGAATTAAATTGCTAAAGTTGGTAGCATAAGTTGCACTTGTATCCTTGAGACCATAATAGAATAATCCCATCCCCAATGTTATCCTGTATCAATAAATATTTATAGAAGAATCATTTTTACACGCATATATATTATACGGAGAACATAATAAAGAAATTGGGCAGCCAAGGCCCCATTAAGGGAGTGTTTGCAACTGCTTCTGCTTTAAAAAAAGCACTTTTGGAGATGTAAGAAAAAAGTGATTAGTAGGAAAAGTTGATAGTGTTTGAGAAAAAAGTGCTTTTGAAAAGTAAAAGTTGATAGTGTTTGGTAAAACAAGTTTTTTTTGTGTAATAGAAAGGGGAAAAACACTTTTCACACACAAGCCGAGAAAAAGTAAAAATTGGTAGTGTTTGGTAAATAAGTGTTTTTTTTAGGCTATGTTTGCTATTGCGTTTGCAAAGCGCTTTTGGCTTTTTTTAATTCAAAACGCAGATAGCCGTGTTTGCATTTGCGTATAATGGCTTCTGTAGAAGTGCTTTTTACTCAAAAGCGGAAAGCAGACAAGAGATGCTTTTATCTGTTTTTGGGTATTATGATTGTAAATAAATGCAAAATAGAGGAAAGTTTTATCCAACTTTTCCACTTTCTACCAGTGCTACCCTCCGTTGTACTCCGTATTTATGATATCTTCAGCACGCATGTCTTCCCCACCTCTATGTCGCTCAAGCATCCCGACCAGAATAGCTCCAGCTTCATTCACGAAGGTCACTCCACCGGAAACACGCAGCGCCAAAGATGGGCGGCAACTTCAAAAGGTCCGCCGTGACATCGTCCAAGACTCTTCTTTAGGAAACCCATAAATCGGATTTCAATTTGAAAGAATATGGAAGAGTATCATAAATTAGGTGTAGTGGATTGAATTTTTCCAAATTAATGGAGTTGATTATTGAAGATTCCATATCCTTTCACCAAAAATGCTTATACTTTCCATCACGAGGCAGCAAAGTTGTTTCGATGAAGTTTCTCAACTGACATAGGTATAGACAAATAATTAGGCTAAAGGATCAAATAGGTCCTTGAACTAACTTAAAGTGTTCAATTAGCCCCTTATACAGGAGGTTCTGCCCGACCGTCACCAATTGAGGCGGTTCCCGGTGGAATTTGTTGATGAAATTTTTTGAGTATCTTCTTCATTAATTGTAGTTTACCCATACCAAATTTCAGCGAAAAATTCAACCGGGAAGGCAGTCAAATGATTTTTTGAAGATAACTGCGCAGTTAAACAGCGCAATACATTTCGGGAAATCATTTGATTGCCTTCCCGGTTGACTTTTTAGCTGAAATTTGGTATGGTAAACTAGGCTTAATGAAGAAGATGCTCAAAAAATTTCATCAAAAAATTCCAGCGGGAACCGCCCCAATTGGCGATGGTTGGATAGAACCTCCTATATAAGGGGCTAATTGAACACTTTAAACTAGTTCAAGGGCCTATTTGACCCTTTAGCCCAAATAATTATTAAGGGTATATTTGTAGTTTAACAAACTTTTTTACATTAAAATTACTTTTTTCACCAAACACTTCAACTTTTACCTTTTAATTAAAATCACTTCTATTTACAAACACTATCCACTTTTACTAAAAATCACTTTTCCAAAAATCTCTTAAATTAATCACTTCTAAAAAGCAGAAGCAAATGCAAACACACCCTTATGCTCATTGGAATCGTAGAAATGTTATTTGTCCTTTTTCATATTAATTTCAATTTTGATTGATCTACTTCGATCATCGAGTCACCATTTTGTGGGCATTCTAAGTCATCTTACATTTGCTGAAGATAGAATGCAAACTAACATTTTTATGAAATTTTAGTTACCCTCATATTAAACTAATCTTATAGAATAAACTAATCTTATAGAATGAAACCCTGAAACTTAATAACATTAACCCTGACCGGTTGCCAACATCGCATAACAAGAGATTGATGAACATTTGTGGGAAATGTAAGATTACTTGGTCACTTTTTGAGAAATATGTTAAGCCAGTGGGACTTAAACGGAGTAGATTTTAAAATGGACAAAAAGTGACATTGTAAGAGTGAGTCTCAAATTCCCCTTATGCCCTTATGCTTCTCCCTTGCCCATTAGACAGCAACATCGGTCGAACCCCCCTTCTAGCATCATAGCCTCGCTTACCACTAATCTTTCTCACACCAACATCGCCCCACTGACCATCAACCAATGTCATCACCTACCTCCAAATTTGTAGACATCTTCATCTTCACATAGCCAATTTAGGATGTAGATCAGCGAGTGCAACCTCAGTTTCGGGGCGGCACCTTAGGACGACAGCTAGGGATTCAGAGTGGGGTGATAACGACTATATTATACTCCCTCTGTCCCGTAAAATAGTTCCCGGTTTCCTTTTTGGGTTGTTCCAAAAAATAGTACTCGTTTCCCCTTTTGGTAAGCTTTGTGTGGCTCACATTCAGTTACCTTTTTCTTATACAATCACAACCATACATTTCCACTTTATTCCCATTTTCTTAAACTCCGATCCAAGTCAATGCGGGAACTATTTTATGGGACGGAGGGAGTAGATACAAGGCGAGGGCTAGGACGAGAGTTAGGGTGAGGATTAGGGCGAGTGTTTGGGGTGGTGTTAAGGTTTCCCTTTCACTTGTGTCAATGTAGAGGCGGGGCTAATGGAGAAGGGGCCAGTGTTTGGGGCAATGGCAGGAAGTCATGGGGGTAGTGTGGTGCAAGGAAGGGGGCAGTGGCGGTGGGGGGGCCATCACAAAAAGTGGATAGGGTAGGTGGGACTGTGGCGGGGGAAGGGCTGTTAGGGAAGCGATAGGGTGAGTGGTAGGGCAGTGGATTGGGAGAGTGGTGGAAAGTGATGGGGGAGAAGGGGCACGACAGTTACAGTGTAACAGTCATTGCTAACATTGGATCACTAGTGCGGCCACTAGTTGCTGATGTCACCGTCTCACCGAAGCGCCCAGAGGTGATGGGGCATCAGGGGAACTGGGACGTCAGGGGTTATTGGGATGCATGTAGTTTATTAGGGTTTCAAGGTCACTAGGTGTCGCAGATCACTGAGTTTTGGGGTTAGTGGGGTGCACGAGGGTCTATGGGGGTCGAGGTGTCACTCGGAGTAGAGCTGTCCAAATGGGCTGAAACCCGTGGGCCGACACGTTTAAACCATTTATTGGTGGGTTAGGGTTGTGAATTTCTTACCCATTTAGTTCGCGGGTTTAAGTGGGTTGGCCCAACGGGTTGCGGGTTTAAGTGGGTTGGCCCAATGGGTTGCAGGTTGGCCCGCGGGCTAACATACAAACATTTACGTGGTATATTTTTACTTTGGGTCGGTTTTACAGCTCTAACTGGGCGGGATGTCATTGAGAGTTTATGTGGTACCACTAGGAAGGGTGTCGTTGGAACTTAGGCGGGGTATTTTTGTACGATGCATATACGACTTTCTAATTTTAGGATTTATTTAGTTACTTTTTCAAAAACTTAAAAAACAGTCTCTTTTGTGTCTAAAAGTCACTTTTTTCAAAAATATAGTCACATTTTAGTGGAAAAACCCCAGATAATATTTGTGCTTCGGAAACTTAGTTAGATTGGTGGTTCATTTGGACTCAATTTCACATAATATATCATATTAAGACTTTATGTCTCATCATAAAAAGTTAACTAGATGTGTGTAGTATAAAAATGTTCAAATGTTAAATTGTAACTTAAAACTTGATCGTGAGAAGCTTAATAACATGCATATAAGGTATCGCTGGCAATGAAATTATCGTTCTTTTAAGAATTTTAAAAAGTAAAAACCAGCCAAGTACCTATTATGTGATGACATCACTATTATTGATTTTCTAAAGAGGGGGTCGCATGTTCAAGTCTCATCTCAATCAAGAATGTTGACATTATCATGACATTAAATAAATGCAACATATTGAATTTTACACTATTCATATGTTCTACTTTGACTATAATTTATTTATTAATGTATTAATATTTTTTTTGGAAACAATATTGCTAAATTTGTCTCATTATACATTTTCAATTTTTTTTTTAAATTTTTTTTACTAATACAGAATTATCCTCCGTATATATTAATGGTCAAAATTGTGTCTCGACAAATGTGAAATGTTAACCGTTGCATTTATTTAAGAACGAAGGAAGTATAATGAGTTTAGAAGGATTTTCCAAAAAAAGAAAATTAAAAACCACTTGTACATGCTGTGTACATTTTGTCGGTATCACATGCAGTTCGTCTAAAAATGTAAATGTGAAACAGACAAAATATATGAGCATATACAAAACGTGTACAAATGATTGTATATACAAGCATTAAGATTTACTCTTTTGAAAACATTGATATTTTCTCTCTTATATATCTTTTTGTCTTTTCTTAAGTCGTGTCTATATGTTTACATGCAATGCAAAATGTAGAAAATTAACATAAACATAAAACATGGATGTACTCTAGAGGACGTACCCAGTTAGAGCTGTAAAAAATGTCCAAAGACAAACCTTTGGATCCAAATTCTTGTCAACTTTCCTGCAGTGTGTAAATTCAGCCAAAGGTAAAACTTGTTATTACTTCTGAGTAAAATAAGATCTCTCCTAATTTATAAAAGAGTAATGTTTTAATACTATGCGATTCATTTTTAATTCGCCTTTTCAGAATTTACCACAACTTTACGTCACTAAATTAATTAACACTATCTGCTTTAGATTTTAAAAATTTTCTCCAAAACTTTAGTATGTACTCCCGTCTCCGTATGAGATATATATGGAGTTTCATGCTAAAAGATCGTTACGATGGAAAGTAATCTAAATATAATACGGAAATAATAACGGAATATAATATTAATAATTTTGAATATATAGTTTTAAAAACTCAAATTCGAGACAGAGTTTGAGCTTTTTATTTGAACTCAAACCTATAAAAATTAATTAGTAATGTTTGAGCCGAGCTCGAACCACAAAAATAGTAAACTCGTCAAACTCGAATTTGTGCATTCTTGTCAAGCTCAAACTTAAACAATTCAACGTGACCAAGTTCGAAGTGGACTCGACTAGCTAGTTTGTAAGTGGAGAACATAGACAAACCTCAAAGGCATTAGTCATTACTACTTCCCAACAATTCTTAGGGTGTGATATGAAACGTACCGGTCAAAGAGGAAAGCCAATGGAGCGATGCAAAGAGCAGCAACGAGATGACGGTAAGTCAAAATGGCAAACACTAGCATTCCCTTATTGATGGCCAATTTGGTCAGAATTTGTGACCCTGCGAATATCACTTGCACGACAACCATCGCCACTATCGGCGCCGCCGATCTTGACTCCCAACCACCGTCCCTAGTAGTCGTCGTCACCGGTTTTTTCGTCATCATCTCCTCACTAATCCCAACAAGCTCAACAACTTGATCACTATTTTCTCTCGTCATAACTATTTCTTGATGCGTACTTTGATTGTAATCACTAATTGTGACGCTCCTGCTTATAATCACTGCATGTTGTCCTCTGCTTCTTGCCTGGTTGGTGAGTTGTTGTGTCACAAGTTTGAAAAACATTAATATCTCACAATATTATGACAAGACTAATAGACTATATTGTCAGATATTATATTAATTGTATATATTTTGTAATCACTTATTTTAGGGAAATAGTTATTGCCTTTTCTTTGAGTTAGGATACTTTCTTTATACAGTTTTCAGTCTCATACCATATCAAATCAGATCAGACTTTCATAGTTAAAAAAAACACAGACCATATATTACAAGACTAGACCAGACCAAATCAGACAAGTAAATTTCAGTCCAAAAGAAAACGTCATTCCTAGTACATACTATACTATGGTATATGCGGATGTAACTTAGTTGACCAGAAGAGGAATAATACACTTTGAGTTTTACTTTGAATATATACACGTACTACTGTGAACACTTGTTTCACATAATTATTATCATTAATTGGTCACTGTTTACAATACAACATCAATACTCAATGAGTGGTCTTATAATTCAAGTCAAAATTATTTGTAGTTGAAATTTGGCACATGATCAATAATATAGAATCAAATTAATATTCCCTATCAAACAATTTTGGCAACTGACAACTAGCGTGAGTCAATTTGGCAATCTCCCTTTAATTTGTTTTGGAGAGCTATAGAAACAAACAAGCAAACATTATTATAGGAGTTGAATATAAGTCTTACTTTTCAACCAAAAGACTCTCCTCAACAATATTAAAAAAATAACGGGACAAAATACCCTAATCTTTTACTTTATTATTTTTCGTACCGATCAAACTGACCAAATTTTCCTAAGTGGGGTTCCTAAGTTCCTTTACATTAAACCATTTAAAGGTCAAAATTCAAAGTAGGTCTCGCTAGGTAGGCGCTTGTTTTTTCGTCGTAAAAGCAAAGTACCTACTTATCAAGAAATAATTATACGGAGTATATTATGTACTGTAGAACGAAAATTAAGTAGGTGATCATCCGACTTTGTCAGAATTTAAAGAATTTAGTTTACATTAAGTAAAACTGTAGAACACTAAATAATACTGTAATAATATTAATGACTCAAAGGTGAAGTTAACATCAAATATGAAAACAAAAAAAACATACTACTCCGGTATTATGTAGAAACTTAACCGCTGCTAAATTAACATTAATATTAATAGAAAGTTTTATATTAATTCAAAGTTGAAGTTATCATTAAATATAATAACTGAAAGAACTATTGATATGTTGAAACTTAATCGAAGGATAATAATTACTTCGTATAAATTAAAATAGTGATAGGCAGAAAATTAACATTATTAATATTTAGTATGTACTCCGTAATATTTAATTCAATATGAACAAAAACTAAGCATTCAAACAGAGAAGATATGTTGAAACTTAATCGATGGACAATTATAAAATATTAATAGGCAGAAAATTAACATTAATATTTAGTATTTAATTCAATGGAAACAAAAACTAAGCATTCAAAACAGAGTAGCAGTACCGTAGTAATAGTAAGAGAAAATAATAAATTCCATACAAGTATTAATAAGGAAAATAAAACTAACCAAATGGATGGAAGAAGGTTTGTCAGAGAGCGGATGGAGTTTGAGGAGGAAGGTAGAGCCTGGCTCAACTTTGGAGATTCTGAAGTAGGTGGGAATTTTTGAGAGATGCAAATCAGTGATGTTCATCATTTATATAGTTCGTATAGGGTGGTCTATTTAAGAATTAGTTCCCTGAAAACTTGAGACTACGAGAGTTATTCCCAACTAAAAATGGGCCTTTAAATACTCGTTACTTCAATTCGTCACATGCTGGATTGATAGCTCCTTAATTAATTGCGTCCTAATTTAAACAAGTCCTTTTTACACAAATATTAAGAAAGGGACCTTCAATCCACTTTTGGTTTATCAGTACCCAAGTTGAAACGTCATCCCCATGTTTTTAGTTTTTAAATAAGATCCGTCACTTGTCTAATTATTTGTAAATATCATCCTCGTCTCGGGCGGTCTCGTGTATATTATTAGTCCCGGACCTCCCGGTATGCCGGGTTCAATGTTAGTTCAAATGTACACATAGCGAGGACGACATTTTAAAAAAAATGGACGATTGGAGTATTTTATTTACCAAAATAAAATATGTGATAACATTTCAATATGGGTACTACTATGAGCATCTTTCTCCTTATTTGAACATTCTTATATATCTTTAGTAGATTTTTCCTCATAATGTCAAGCAAATTGTTTAGATGTAGACATTAATTATGGTTGTCATTGTTGAGAAAAAACATACCAAAAACATATAATGCAAAACTTATGAATGCAAGTGAGAGCACCTAAACCTAGTGTGAGTAGTGTCCTATACTCCTATGGAACCCCGATGAAAGGAAGTGAGAGTTGAACTCTAATAGTAGAGTTACTCAAAGATTTAAGTGTGTGCTTATTTAGAAGTCTACCTATGGGTGGATCGAGGAACTCGGGTTAGGCTAGGTTGCCTAGGGTGAAGATTAATTATTTATATTAGGTCTAAATATTATCTGAGTGAGCTAAATATTCAAATGAAAAAAATTTGCTCTAAAAATCTGGGGAAAAAAGTGAGCTGCTTTGTATTTCAACCCGTCATAAGTCCAATGTAAATCATTCCGTCAGAAGAGCCCCATCAAACAACATACGGAGTATTATCTTAGGATGGTCTGTTTAAGTCTGGTCTGGTCTGGTCTGGTCTGGTCTGTTTAAGTCTGGTATGGTCTGGTTTGAACTGATCTGGTCTGGTCTGGTCTGGTCTGGTAAACGTCTAGTCTATGTGTATTTTATAACTACGGAAGTCTGGTCTGGTCTGGTCTGGTAAACGTCTGGTCTATGTGTATTTTATAACTACGGAAGTCTGGTCTGGTCTGGTCTGTTTAAGTCTGGTCTGGTCTGGTCTGTTTAAGTCAGGTCTGGTCTGGTCTGGGACTGAAAACAGTCCAAAAGAAAACATCCTTAGTATGCATGTGGTAGAACTGTTTAAGAGGGGCTAATAAAGTTTTTACTCGAATGATTTTAGTCCGAGACTACAGATATTTTCTTTTGGACTGAAATTTGCTGGTTGTTAGGCCCAAGAGTTCACCTTGTCAACTGGGCCAGCAAATTAATTGAAAGCAAGAGTCGGCCCAATCTTAGCAAAGGTCTGGATGATAAATATTTGAATTAGTAAGCAAAGAAGATAAGGTCAAGTGGAGCCAAAGTATAGGAAGGTTGTTAGACGTGACCAACAAAAGGGCAGCACTAGGCTAATCTTGCGGAAGAGGAAAACTCCACCCCTTTAAATAGACTAGGTGATCTGTAATGTACACCACGGCTTGTTCAATCAATACACATGCACAATCATATTCCTATTGTTCTTGATATCCATATTACTAAATTCCGGTTATATTTATTTCTTAATCAATTCGTTCATATTTGATTCTTCTTGCTCAATTACCTCATAATTAATATTCGTAGATTAGTTAATTTATAGTTAAAACAATTGGCGCCGTCTGTGGGAAATTCTTGCAAAAAGAGAATCAACTATGACCGAAATTTCTAACTCCCTGTTTAATGAGATTCAAGCACAGCTAGAAGCCGTCCGAGAAGAGCTCCGCGCATCCAAAAGTTCCGATGCGGCACAGCTAGAAGCCGTCCGAAAAGAGCACTGCGCATCCAAAAGTTCCGACGCGGCACAGTTAGAAGCTGTCTGGGAGGAAATGCGTCAACGAATGGCCTTCCTCCAAGGTGAAAATGATGCTTTGAGATCTCAGGTGCAATCGGTAGCATCCATAGCCTTCATCTCACGACGGGGTGAGGATGTGGCTACTGTGGCAACGAGACTGAACATGGGTTCGATTCCGGCTTTAACGGAACCTTTCATCCCTCACTCTGGGGCCGGCACATCTGGAGGAGCAGGACCCTCAACTCGTTTCATTCCACCCGCAAATCCCAGAAGGAACATATTCCGAAATCTGTTTGCAGAGCCCCAGAGACAACATGTTCCAAATCATGTCGACATTCACAGATATTTCGACATCAACAACCAGATGCGACAAGTTCCAAGCCATGTCGACATGCCCATACGTGTCGACATCAATAATCGAAGGTTTCAGGAGCCAAAGGTCGTCACCATACAAACACCATACGAGCAAAGGGAGACTCAGGCAGTGACATCATCCGAAGCAGCGGGCCCGCAAGTGCAGACACATTCGATAGACCCCTTGGCCATCATCATGGAGGAGTTGAGAGAATTGCGGGAGAAGGTCAACAACATACCTGGAGTCCCGCGCCCGCTTGACATGGCGCCACAAACTTGTTACGCAGATACACCTTTCGGACGACATATCACTAATGTCGAGATTCCGAGGAAGTTCGCCACCCCCTCAATGAGACTGTTTGACGGGACTTCTGATCCGGTGGAACATGTCGCTCAGTACAAGCAACAAATGTTAGCCATCTCGGTCAGACCAGATCAGCGAGAAGATTGCATGTGCAGGGCATTTGGGACGATGTTGACGGGACTGGTGTTGACGTGGTTCGTCAATCTGCCAAACGACGACATCAATTCATTTGCGGAGCTGGTCAACTTATTCAATCAGCAGTTTGCAAGCAGTCGAGCCTTGGAGAAGCAGACTAGTGACCTCTACCGAGTTGTCCAACGACGGAATGAATCCTTAAGGGATTACTTGCACCGATTCAACAAGGAGAAGGTGTCAATCCCCAGGTGTCACATGTCGACAACATTTGAAGCATTCAGAAAGGGGCTGCTGGAGGATTCAGAGTTATATCAGGAGTTGACGAAATACCCTAGTCGGTCCTTCGAAGATGTCCAAGCAAAAGCACTGGCTTTCATCCGTCTAGAAGAAGACTTATGTTCGCGTCGCGGACAAATTGAGCAGGACGGGGGGCACGGGAAGTCAGAATCTCCCAGGAGACATGATTACAAACACGGAAAGCCTTATTCGAGGCCTGAGGAACAAGTCGTCACTTATGTGACAAGATAGTTTGGACGACATGATTGAAGTCGTCGGACGGGGGGCATGTCGTCCGATGGTAGAGAGGTTCTTAAGAGCTGCAATACGGTACCTTTAAAGTTGTTTCACTTTGGTTTATTATTTTCTTTCATATATTGGCGTCACTTCCGTGATGAAATAGACTAGACGACATGATCGAAATCGTCGGACAGGGGGGCATGTCGTCAGGTAATAAACCTAACGAAACGATTGAAATCGTCTGACGATAGACTAGTTCTGACGATAGATATTTAGTTTCATACACGTATGCTTAATTTATTACTTTCATTTATCTATAAACGACAACTAACCTAAGCATCGGAGGGCCGTTGGCTTCTAGCCAACGGCAAACGTTAGCAAAATATTATTTTTGCACAGGTACAGTCAAAAATTGACGATGACATAATCCTAACATGCAAATTTTTACAATATGTCAAAACACAATTGACGGCGGCTTACATAAAACAAACCTTACAACACGTCAAGACACAACTTACGGGGGGGGGGGGGGGGGGGGGGGGGGGCTTACAGAATTTTAGGGGAAGAAGTGGGGTTTTCATGTACGCTAAACATGAGTATAATAAACATCACCGGTTCTCCGCAATGTTTTGGCCTAAACAACAGACAAATCATACATCACAAATGTTGACAACATCAAAGTCAGACAAACACAAAACAACAACAGTGCACATACAAGTGACATCATCATGTGAAGCAACAACCACATCCAAAACTACACACAACAGAAGCACGTGCTCCAAGAGCACGACAACACAAGCTCCAAAACATAAGGAGACAATATGAACGACATTGACATACATCATAAATATTCATTATTCAAAGATTTTGGAGGATTTTGATTACGTTCATGCAACCCGACTCATCATCTCTAGCAACGGACGATGTTAACTTGACCAACTGAAGTGTCGACATCAACCCGGTCAAAGTTTCAACTCGTCAGCATTGCCTAGACATGATCATTAGCACAAATTTGGAGGAAGAGGATATGAGATCAGCTTTCGTTCTTCTTCACTTTAGTCAAAGAGACGGATTAGATCAGAAACTACTTGCACGGAATTAACGAAGTCGTTTCATCAGAAGAGTGAAGGGTTGAAGGAAACATGTCGTCCGACAAGTGACGAGTTTAAGAAAGCATCTCACTTGACAAATGACAGATTGGTGGAAGTGTCCCGACATACGAATGATGGGTTGACGACATGTCTCGTCGGGGGGATGACGAGTCGATGGGCAATGACGACGGGTTTTAGTCCTTTCAAATTTCGACAAGTTACTGCTTGACGGCTTGACGTGTGTGTCATATGCTTCAACTTCTCGAAAGAGGGCAATTGTTAGGCCCAAGAGTTCACCTTGGCAACTGGGCCAGCAAATTAATTGAGAGCAAGAGTCGGCCCAATCTTAGCAAAGGTCTGGATGATAAATATTTGAATTAGTAAGCAAAGAAGATAAGGTCAAGTGGAGCCAAAGTTGTTAGATGTGACCAACAAAAGGGGAGCACTAGGCTAATCTTGCGGAAGAGGAAAACTCCACCCCTTTAAATAGACTAGGTGATCTGTAATGTACACCACGACTTGTTCAATCAATACACACGCACAATCATATTCCTATTGTTCTTGATATCCATATAACTAAATTCCGGTTATATTTATTTCTTAAACAATTAGTTCATATTTGATTCTTCTTGCTCGATTACCTCATAATTAATATTCGTAGATTAGTTAATTTATAGTTAAAACACTGGTCTGGTCTGGTAAACGTCTCGTCTCTGTGTATTTTATAACTATGAAAGTCTGGTCTGATCTGATTTGGTCTAGTCTGGGACTGAAAACAAACCAACAGAAAACATTCTAGATCACTACCGAACTAATCAAACATACATAAACTAGACTTAAACAGATCAAATAAATCAGATTTCGACAATATAAAATAGACTATACATTTATAAGACTAGAAATTTCGCACAACATTCTAAATCACAAAATTTCGCACAAGCCTTTGATGCCCATGTGAAAAGTGCAAACATCTTGGACTTCGTATTTGGATAAGCCAATATGAAGTCAAAATTGTCCATTTCTTATGGAATCTCATACTAAAGACGTGCCGTCAATTAGTATGCCAACCAGGCAACCAGTGCCACTTGGGATAATACTCAATAGTTGTTTTGACTCACTTATTTGGTTCGGTCAAGTTCCACAGAGCACGAGTCTTCTTTCGAGTTTCGAGTGCCAATTTAAGTCTCATTACATAAATTGTTGCTGATAAACAACCACGTTTTCCTTTGGGAATTGGGTAAGCAGATGTCCAAACCGGTCTAGAGCGGTACAAAGGCTTTTTTAGAAACTTTTTAACACAATATTTTATCTTACTCCGTAATATTTAAGACATTTTTTAAATTTGTACTGGGTCGGAAGGGAAAGAATCAGGCAGCATGATCGGGATGACGGATGGCCTTTTATTTCTGGAAGACGGAGAAGAACTTTTACTTTCTTGTTCTTGCGTTTGTTTTTTATGATGTCCAGTTTTTTACTCCTTATTTAATTTCAGCATGTTTTTTTGTAGCACTGTAAGACTTTGAGCTTGGATTTGGGTGACAGGGAGGCTGCGGTGATCGTCTTTGGTTCAGTTGCGCCCATTAATGGATCAACGAGTATGTTGCTTGTATTGAGGTGATTAACTTTGAGTCTGATTCGATGGGCGACAGTTGACAGCGGTCTTTTTGTCTTTTTAGCCTATATCTGTATGATGTGATATCAATATAAGCAACATTTCCTAAAAAAAATTGTATTGGGTCGGATCAGGGCTTAGGTTTGAATTTTGTAATCGTATGATTCAAATTGGGATATTCTAGCATTATTAGTACAGATAACATGCATATTCACATATTACATAAATTAATACTACGCACAACACAATATTATACCCAAAGTCAGTAATTTCATACCTCGTGTTGTATTTCCTCCGTCCTGTTAAAATTGTCTTATTTTTCTTCTCGATCTGTCCCACTTCTCACTCCAAAATTGATAAAATATGTGTAGTTTTAAATCATTTTTAATTTATTCTTACTTTATCAATTCAATATCAACTACATAAGCTCATTTTTCTTAGCGAGTGTTTGGATCCACTTCCTAAAACTGCTTCTGGTCTTTTAGGGAGTAGAAAGAGATTGAAATGTTTGAGTATAATTGCATAAGTACTTCTGGGTGCTTTAAATTGCTCCCAGGAGCAATTTTTTGAAGACATGACAGATCAATTTTTGAAAAGGTGATTCTTATTTTGCTTCTACTTTTAAAAAAGAATCAGAAATAGAATCAATTCCGAACACTCCCTTAATAACTGTGTTACCTCTTCATATCCCAATGTTAGTGCTACGGAGGTAATACAACTACAATTATATAAACACATCTTGTAGTCTACACCCTATAAACCCTAATTAAACCGTGTAAATGTGTAATTCAAAGATTTTGATTATTTATTCTAACAAGGTGTATGTAGTAATACCATATATTTTATATAAATGATAATTTATGTCATTAGTAAGAGCCCGTTTGGTAGCACCAAAACCGGCTGTTTTGGCCGATTCTGCTGAAATTTATGAAGTTCTGGCTGAAGTGGTTGCATTGGCTGATTCTGCTGATTTAAGAAAAAATTATTTTTAAAATATATTTTAGTAATAAAATAAAGAAAAAATTACATGTAAAATAGTTAAAATTGTCATCTACAGTAACTTCAGCCAATACAGTCAGAAAAGTAACTCCAACCTTACTTTTTCTGCTTATTACACAATTTAGCGCGCGAAAGCAAAATTACGCGTTTGGTGAAAAAGCTGGTTGATAAGCCTGAAAAGCCGAAAAACAGTGTTGCCAAACAACCTCTAAATTTAAGGTTCCCACATGATCAACCTCAACACTATTAGCCCACCATTACATATACGTACGAAAAGCGCCTACCAGCTGATCGAGAGTAGCAGGGCCACCCTCTGTTTGCCCACCAATTCAGTGTATTATACTATTATGTATATATCCAATTATCCATTACTGTATTTAGTGGCGTAGTTAGGGGATGAAATCGGCCGGTGGTCTGAATGAAAATAATCAGGGGCGGTCCTGGCAGTTCCAAGGCCTAGGGGCGAGTGCTCTAGAATAGGGCCTAATTTTTAAAAAATATTGTAATTTTTTTCTCTCTTCTTCTCTTTTTGTGCTATATTTCGTCTAGGTTCGTCCGATTTTATTAGACTTTAAAATTAATAAAATTTTACATTTTAACAAAAGAAATTTTAATGCAGTCACAAAATCACAGCTCAATTTCATAACCATTTTTTACTAGAAAATCTAAAACACATTCGCAATTTCACTATTTGACAAATGATACTACGTAATTTGTAGTTAATATTCCAACAAATTTAAAATATACAAATTCAGGATCAAACAACAATGTGAACAAATTCATAATTTCAGTACTTCACGATTCAACAAAACAACAATCAATAAGTAAATCAATAACAAAAAAACTAAATTCGGTGATAAAAGATAAAAAGTTATCATAACTATTAACTAATAATGTATTAATGTAGTATATACCAAAAGTAGAATAACAGAATTGTAGATTTCTACAAGCAGAAGTGATGGGAGTCTCTTGTGTTTTTAGAATTTGTTTACTATTCTTCTTACTGGGCCTCATTGAGTGGATGAAAATATTAGATATATAGGCCAAAAAAACTCAACCTACTCAATCTTAGTATAACACATAAAAATTGGGCCTAATTTTTTCACACTTTTTTTTGGGCCTAGGGCGGTCGCCCCTGCTGCCCTCCCCCCAGGGCCACCCCTGAAAATAATACAAATGCATGTATCTCTAAGAGCATCTCCAATGGTACAATGTGCACGATGTACATGTAGCATAAGAGATAAACACATAAATATTAGTAAATAAATTATTTCTCTCCTTATTTAAATGATTTTATACAGTATTGGTAAGTTTTTCTCCACAATGTCAAGGAGACCGTCTAGATGTTGACATTGTTGTTGACATTGCAGAGAAAAACTTACCAAAATTGAATAAAATCATTCAAATAAGGAGAGAGATAATTTATTTGCTAATATTTATGTGGCTATCAATCATGCCCCATGTGCACCGTGCACATTATAGTATTGGAGATGCTCTAAGTGTCTAACTCTCGGATAAGTGAACTGGGGTGAGAGTCTGAGAGAGGCTCGATCTAACTCTAGGATAATTATAATTTGAAAAGTAATTAATGTCAGTTGTGCAACTCTACTCTAAACTTTTAGATTTATCGTTTATTTCTACTTGAAGACTAACATCTACTTTTTTTATATAATAAAGTTGAGTTAAAAACTAATGATGTGTCAACATCCTATTGGATATTGCATTAATGCATATTCTATTATCACAACAACTAAAAAAATTAATTAACTACATACACACGGCTATTTCAAAAAAAAAAACTACATCACAGCTGATTTGGAGCAAAAGAAGGAGAAATAATCTCTCTTTTTCAAAGTGATATAACTATTATATTTATAATCCAGTTTTTACAAAAAATATATCAAAATTCATAATCTTTTATGATCTTTCACATGACACCAGTATCTTATAAAAAAACACTTAAATTGATGACATGTCAATATCTTATTGGTTAACAAAAATTAAATTATCATTTTATTACAACACATAATTAGAACAACTAATTGAAAAGTTAGAGAGAAAAACGTGTGCCAGAGGAAAACTAGGAGAAAAAAGTGTAGAGATAGTTAAACTTGAGCCTACACGCTGACACATTAAAATACGGAGTATTATTTTAACATGAATTTTGGCAGGAATTTGACATCAATTTTTGCAGGGATATGCCAAATTTGTGCCAAAAATGCTTTGGCACGAGCTATTTGGCACGAAAAATCGGTAAATCCGTGCCAAATTTCATGCGTAAATATAATTATTAATACCAAAAAAATTAGCTAAAACCGTTTATGGGATCGGAAAAAGCACTAGAAGGTATAGTTTGATAAAATACAATATGTTTGTGCATATTCATTGGTCATCATTATCTCTTAATCTTTAATATTTTTCATAATATTATTATACAAAATCTATTTTCTTTAATCTTCACTTTTAGGTATTAAATGTTTATCTCATTCCAATTAAAGCCGGTTGATAGCCCTGTTTTTCGGTTTATCAAGCTTATCAGCCAATTTTCCCACCAAACATATAATTTTTGACTTCGTGCGTTGAATTATACAATAATAGAAAAAGTAAGACTTGAGTTATTAAGCTGGTTGTATTGGCTGAAGTTACTATAGAGGATCATTCCAACTTTTTATTCGTATAATTTTTTTTCTTTATTTTGTTAATGAAATATATTTTGAATATATTTTTTTCAAAAATTAACAGAATCAACCAATTCAGCTACTTCAGTCAGAACTTCATAAATTTTAGTAGAATTAGTCATAGTCGATTTGGGTTATTACGAAACGAACTCTTAATTTTTAGCATTCAATTCTTTTAGCACATACGGAGTACAACACTTTTCACTTTTCATTATTTTTCTCTCTGTTAATTATTTTGATTTACTTTTCTTTTATAACTATACAATCGTTATTACTGAATTCTTTTAAAAGTAAATATGAATAGAAACAACTTTATTGAGAATTGTAGTGCCTAGGGAACTAAATAGATGATCAGTAATTTTTGTTTTTCTTCTTGGTCGCTAATTAGCTCGACATGATGATTCTCATAGATCATGATCAAATAAATGTTGTAGTTAATTAATGGATATTGAAAGAATATATACACATCCTGCATAGTCAAACGTCTATGGAAGCAAAGTCTGAAAATTGGATGTTACATTTAGGAATGGTTTCTCTCATGATTTAATCCCAATTAAGATATCATATTCCAATTAATTGTGAGAATTGACATATATTAATGTCGCAAATAATTATTTTATTTAGAACCCTCATTTATTTGTACAAGGTTTTATAGAAATCAAAATAAATAAATAAAATAAAAATCTTAATTTATAGGGCAATTTGTATAGTTAACCTACAGAAACTCAGAGACCCATAAAAATGGTACAGTACACATAGATTGAGAAGTAAAGATATTTTTACTTGGATTGTTTTCAATCGCCGGCAAGAACAAATCAAACAAGATTTAAAAAGACCAAACTAAACTTAAACAGACAAAACCACACCAGAATTCGACAATTGTAAAATACAAATAGACCAGACATCTACCAGACCAGACCAGACTAATTCAAGCAAGGCTTGAAAAAACTGAAACAAACCAGATCAAATTGGTTCAAATAAAAACGAGATCACCAGACTAGAAAGTTACGTTTCAGTCCAATTAAAAATATTCTAAGACTAACTAACTTCATACTCCCTCCGTCCCTGAAAACATTGCCAACTTTCCATTTTTGGATGTCCCACTAACTTTGTCACTTTCTTTTTTAAGTAAAGAATTTGTGATTCCAGTTAACTCTCTCTCTCTCCTCTGCACAAACCTCAACCACACACTTTTACTTTATTAATTAATCCTCGTGCCGGTCAAATTTGGCAAAGTTTTAAGGGACGGAGGGAGTATGTAATTGTAGAACTAGAAACTTGAACTATGCCTTTAAAAAGTTAAAAGGAATTTTATCTAAATAAATTTGAAATTGTTTGGATTAAATTGAATTCAATAAATTTATATATTAAACAAATGGGGTAATTTGAGTTTGCACCTCATATTATTGTCTAAATTGGACTTTGCATCCCGTTTTTAAAAATCTTTGTTTTTTCATCCCCAATCCTATATGAAAAGACTAAAATGCCCCTACATTAACAATTATGTTGACCTTTAACATATTCCTGATTGAGGACATTGTTGTCTTTTCATATGGGGTTGGGGTGAAAAAACAAAGATTATTAAAAACAAGGTGCAAAAAGTTAATTTAGACAATAATATGGGGTGCAAACTCAAATTATCCCTAAACAAATTTATCTTATAATTATTTGGAAATGATGGCTTTAAAATATTATATTTTTGGAGATATTATAAGCAATATTTGTTGTTTTGCTACGACGAAATGCTTAGCATAGTATGAACGTTCTTCAATTAATGTGCTCATGAATAGAGTATCAAAATAATAATAATAAGTCTAAAACAAAATAAAATAATAAAATATTAGTGAATATATTCTTTTTTCAACAAAAAATGTTAAAGCAATATTACTTTTGTAAAAAGTAATATTTTTAATAATTCAAAACCTCTATTGATATTTAATATTTTAACTTACATTAATATGTCACTACCGGGGCATGCCCCGGGTGTTACACTAGTTGGGGTTAAAGCAAAGTTAACCAATATCAATACAATATTTGAATACATAGTTTGTTATTCATCGATAAGGAATCTTAATTAATAAAGTATTTGTAGGCTAGATTATATGTGGGGAAATAAAACAGCCAAGAATACTATAATAACAATAACAACAGGAGTAAGGTTCACATCAAACAGTAGATGCATTTGTGTTGTTATATGAAAATAAACATAACAAACACAAAATGTTCTGCATGAAGCAAGTATATGAACACCGAGGGTGATATATATTTTTCCCTTGATGAGTACAAATGCAGGCCCTCATCTACCACCGGCTTGAGTGAAAAATTCCCAACTTCCACCCGGTTGATTACGGACATCCGGAGGAATCTGGAAGAGGAGCTGCAGAAGCTTGTGGAGCAAAGGAAGCCAAAGGTCGTGACTCTTCGCCAGGACGAAAGAGATGATGATGAAGACTGGACCTAGGAGAAGCAAGAGACGTCAACTCTTGGTCTTTTAGGTCTGACTCCTCATATGTAATGCTTCGTGTATACTATCTAGACTTTTGTTGTAATGGCTTCCTCTCTCCATTCGAATCCATAAATTAGTGAACTTGGTGAAGATGTTAGTTGTCTGCTCATTTGTTCCATAAAACTTTAGTTTTATCTTTTCATTTGCTACCAGCTTGCGTATAAAATGATGTTGCACATCTATGTGATTTGTTCTAGCATGAAAGGCTGGATTCTTTGCCATTGTAATGGCCGACCTGTTACCACAATAAATCACAGTACCTTCTTTCAGCTCAAGATGAAAATATGCTAGCAACTCCTGAAGCTACAAAGCCTGTTGAGCTGCAGATGAGGCTGCTACATACCCTACTTCAGAAGATGAAAGAGCTATTGTCTCTTGCTACTTTGAACTCCATGTTATTGCTATTTTGGCAGTTCAACTAAAATGGCACATAAAAGGACAACCAATTTAAAGCTAGTTCAAGGAGGAAATGGTAGTCATCAAATGTCATTATATTTATTGATGAATTAGTACTTTTATAAGTACCATTAACCTATATCCCACAAGACACTATAATTATAGATGAATTACTTTTCCAATCCTACAAATCGATCAGCTCAGCAAGAACTATCAGAACAGAGGGGCTGAATGAAAGAGGGTGAGCTAATTCAATTTTTTTGACATAGTGGCACACAGGAACTTTAAATTCATTTTTTGTTCGAGTCATGAACATGATGGTATATAAAAATATAATCATTTATTTTCATGAGATGGTCTGATCTCTGTCACAAAGTCTAAAGCAACACCAACTGTTGGGGATATTTTTGTTTATAAATACTTTTTTCATTTATTAGAACAGATCTTTCTAATGAATTGGATTTTTCAATATATTCCACTACATCTTAACTACCCAAATATGAGTGAAATTTAAACGAAGTAATTGGGTTAGGGAAAGGTATGAACCATTGAATTACATGAAAAAATGGGTTTACCTGAAATGGATAAAGCTACAAACAGAGAGCCTAATGTAAGGACAACCAAAAATATGGTATGTGCGATGCAATAAACCCAAATCGCCGGAACAAATAATACAAAATCGAAACACATGGAAAACATACAGAGTATTTAATTACTAACTTGGAGAGGACATGAAGATATGGACGGAGAATGATGGTGGAGGAGATGAAATCGCAGAATAAGAATGAATGTGGTCTGAGGCTTGTATTTCCGACGGAATTGCGACAGTATCAATAACAACCGGATGGAATTGCAACGATGTAATCAAATTTAGCGTCAGCCTGCGGCGACATTTCATATGGGTCATGGATAATCCTTCAGTAATTGCAGACGGTTTTTCCCGTCTGTGCATATCTGATTATCTGTTTGTAGTGAGTGTCGATGATGGGGTCACCAAAACCAAGGGTGAGTAAACGGAAGTAAGTTAAACGGAATGAAGTTAACTTTCGGAGTATCATTTTAGATTACCAAAAATTATGGATGAAGTACAAGTGCTTAATTTTTACATCTCCATTACACCCCTAACATTATTCATGCTTATAAGATGGTAGAGAAATACATCAGGAAGTGTTTGTACATCTGCATAGTGCGTCAACGGAGCCAATTCAACATATATTGCCAAATTCATCATCAATATGTGCTTCAACAATGCTATTCTCTTCAAACCATGCCCTAACTGAAATGACATATCGATTCGAAATCAAATATTCACGAATTGTTCGATTTAGTAACATAGTCTTCATAGACAAATATCACAAATTAACTAATCACTTCAATCCCTTTATTTGTTTCAATCTGTAACAGAAATGGTTGATTGTTTCAAAATTGTGTGTTTACTATACCCAATTAGATCTCTTCTCACGTAAAAGACAACAAGAAAGTATTGAAATCTTACTTGCATCATATCGGGTGAAGAGTCAATCTTTCTCTTCACTGTCAATTTCTTAGATATCCTCTCCATCCTTTCTCTTGATGTTGGAGCAGGTGCTTAGGATTCCACAAATATCTCCCCTTATTCTTCTGAGAGAAAGAATTCTGTCATTTTATGACCTACTCCATTACGAGAGCTCAATGTCTCCATATTGCAGAGAAACCAACTCCATGCAAGCGTTACTGAGAACGAAGATTGGTGCAAGGCTTTGCATATCAAATTCATTGGGCTTCTAACGGAGGGGGTGTTTTAGTAATGGCATTACAGTCTTTTCAAAGCAAGGCTAACTCTATTTATCAGATTTATAACGGCGGGGCGTAAATATTAATGTTTTTCAAAAAGAGGTGCAAAGTCTAATTGTTCAATAAGAGTGGGTGCAAAGTCAAATTATAAATTTGATGGCTGCAGGGCGCATATGAGTCTGATCTGACGCTCTGCAAAGTCGTCTCTGTTTTCTTTATATGGCCTGCAGGTTGCAGCCACCGTCCTTGATTATGCGGTCTAAGTAGCGACTTAGTGTTTTTTTTTGTTCATCTAACCAAACAATACTTCGGAGTCTCAGTTACTCTGCTCCAGCACTGCTTGTCTGCTATACACTTTCATCTTAGCCACCATAAATTGCGGCCCTTTCAAAAAAATTGAGGTGAGCTTCTCTCACTACTATCAAAATTTTGATTCTGGTTGCTTCTTTCTGTGTTTTTATGCATGTCCAGTTCAAGCCACTCTGCATAGACTATAGACCAGTCACCCGTATTGCCTTTTTAGTTTTTACTCTGGCTCCCTACTTCAGGACACTCCTTAGGTCATGCGCTCGATACGTAGCGTTAGATGTAGGCAAGAAAGTTCATGCGGCAGCCATTATCTCAGGATTGTTGAATACACCTAATGCATTCATCCGGAATGCTGTACTCCACATGTATGCGGCGTGTGGGTTTGCACAGTCCGCCCACAAGGTGTTCGACGAAATCCCCCTATCCCAAAAGGACATTGTTGATTGGACGACCTTGATGGGAAGTTATATTCGGTCAGGGCTACCACTTCACGCGCTCAGACTATTTGTAGAACTGCATAGGGTAACTGTTTGTGTAGATGAACTCACAATGGTCACTGTATTCAATGGCTGTGCGAAGTTGGGTCATTATGGTTTTGGGGTTCAAGTTCATGCCTTTTTAATTAAAACAGGGTTGTGCTTCTGTGTTAAAGCATGCAATGCGATTATGGATGTTTATGTGAAATGTGGATTAATCAATGAAACAAGAAGAGTTTTTGAAGAGTGTAATGAAAGGAGTGTTGTTTCTTGGACTGTACTATTGACTGGTGCAGTCAGATTGGAAGGTTTGGAAAGTTCTAGGTTAGTTTTTGACCAGATGCCCGAGAGGAATGAGGTTGCTTGGACAATCATGATTGCCAGGTATGTGGAAAATGGGTTTACATTGGAGGCCTTTAAACTCTTAAGAAGCATGCTCTTTGATTTGAAATTAGAGTTAAATTTGGTGGCACTTTGTTCATGGTTATCAGCTTCTGCACAATCAGGGAATGTTCTGATTGGTAAATGGGTGCACGCATATTATCTGAAACAGATGAACAATGAATGTGATGTTATCATATCAACATCATTGGTTGATATGTATGCTAAGTGTGGTAGAATTGATGATGCTTTTCGAGTTTTCAGAGTGACACCTCGAAGGAATGTGGTGACATGGAATGCTATGCTAAGTGGGCTGGCAATGCAAGGGAAGGGAGACATTCTTGTGGGTTTGTTTGCCCAAATGGTTAAAGAGGTCAGTCCAGATGATGTTACTTTTACAGCTGTATTAAGTGCTTGTAGTCACTCAGGTCTAGTTGATCAAGGTAGGCACTTTTTCTATAATCTTGAACCTGTTTATGGGATAAAACCCTCTATAGAGCACTTCTCTTGCTTTGTAGACCTTTTATCTCGTGCCGGGTATCTAGAAGAAGCAAAATCTGTCATTGAACAGATGCCTATTCCCCCGAACGAGGTTGTGTTGGGATCACTTTTAGGGGCTTGCAGTGTGCACAAAAATGTTGAAATGGGGGAATGCCTGATGAAAGAGCTTGTCCAAATGTATCCCCATAATGTGCAGTATCATGTTTTGCTTTCAAATATGTATATCTTGGCTGGCAAGAGAGATAAGGCCAGTTCACTTCGTGGTATTCTTAAGAACAAGGGTATTAGGAAAGTACCTGGCGTTAGCTCTATATATGTTGGTGGTCGAATTCATCACTTTAGTGCAGGTGATAAATCACATCATCAGATTCATGAGATATACATGATGCTGGATGAGATGATTCAGAGGTTAAAGTTGGATGGTTATGTACCTGATGTTGCCTGCCAATTACCTCTTGGAGAAGAGTGTGTTAATGAGTGGGAGGAAAAAGAGCACACATTGTTCTTCCACAGCGAAAAGCTAGCACTTTCTTTTGGGCTTATTAGCACGAGGGCGGGAATGCCTCTCTACATTTTCAAAAATCTAAGAATATGTGTAGATTGTCATTCTGCTATGAAGGTTGCTTCAAAAGCATATGATCGGAAAATTGTTGTCAGAGACCGAAACCGCTTCCACTGTTTTGAGTTAGGCTTGTGTTCTTGTTTAGATTACTGGTAGTACAACCATTTGAGCTCACAGGATTAGTTCAAGTTATTTAATTTTTAATGTAATTAGTGGGAGTCAAGTATATTAGCCAGCTCCCTGTGAAACAAGTGCATTGTTTCCAACCTAAAAAAGTGTGTTGTTTTGTGGTGATGAAAGTGATATAGAATCAAAGTGCAATATGAATTGTAGTTTCAAAAGATAATCGAGTATTAGAGGTTGTGAAATGGTAATTGAAACTTGTTAGATGTCTTTATTCATTTTACCATATGTTTGGAACTCATGATCTGCCCATTGCGGACCAAAAAGCTCTACATCACGATTTAGTCAATGTCGTAATAGCCTTGTTTGGATTTAGGGCTGATCAGCTGATGTATGCTGTAGCCTGTAGTTGAACAAAACTTTAGTTGAAGTGGTAAAATAATGTTCTATAGCCCATTCATTGTAGATCTGTACCAAATTTTCCTTACATAATTTACTCAAAAAATCTACTGCACATTCAAACAATGCATTTTAGCGTAAGTCAACGTGTTTGTAGTATTTATTTCACTTTATTCCTATCTGGACTACTTCATTGAGTTAGTATTAGCTGTAGCCTGTAGACAATACCCCTCAGTCCAGACAATTCCCCCTAATCCTAATTAGCCTTCAGCTTTAGCTCATTATCTAAATATGGCCTTAGTTGCTTAATGAATCATGATTAACTAATGATAGCTTGTGTTTATGCATGTTAGTAGCCTGGTTGGTATTGTTTTAATGCTACAAAGCATCTTTATTCATAATAGAGAATTTGTATTTTTCAGTATGCAACGTCTCTTTTTTATTGCTTTGATGCACATCTGTTTTCAGTATTCATGATTGCTTTATGCACACAAACAAACAATCAAACATACAGACTTACAGTGATCATGCATTCATGGGCATGCATTCTTTTACCCTATAATTATCATTAGCATCATAGTCTAATAGGATTTTATGTGATCTATGTAAGTTAACTTTGGTCTACCATATCATTGTTACCGTTGAAGGAATCACATCACATGTCATGCACACTTTCTCAGTTAAAGCATGGTCAAAATTTATTTGCAATGTTAATCTTGAGGCCCCTAATATTGCACAAGTTTGCCTCGGATGCCAAATCCATATTTATAAATTAGGCTTACTGGACTACCTCTCAAATAAAAGCATACGCATGATGCATAACTAGGCTTCAACATTTATAAACAATGATGTGGAGTCAAATATCCTGTTTCACTATGTAAAGAGCATCCTTGTTAGAAGTTTCTACATTCCAAATTATTTTTATGATAATTTTTACCTGAAATTATCTTGTTGCTGTTTGGTTGACTGGGACACTTTTTTCCAGGTTTCAGTTCTTTTTCGATAGAAGTAAGATAATTAAGCATGCACCTAGTGCCAATATAAGCTTATGGATCATCATTCTGATCAACCGCTTCCTCCTGGAGTCCAGCGTGTTTCATTTTCTTCACATCTCCTGCCAGAAACTGCACATTCAACTCCACCTGTTCTGAATAATGATAATATTGAAAACCCTTCTCACTCTCACGAGGGAAGTCTTTTTCCTATCACTCCTAATGGAATTGGGTTTTCACATCCTGAAAGCTTGAAACCACATTCCACAAGTTCATGTCAAATTCATCATACACATGCTACGAATGTGGTATCCCAAATGCCAAATAGCTCTCAATCTATTCCGGTGCCTTCCTTAATGTATTCCGGTGGCTCTTCACTACACCCAGAAAACACCAATGACATTGATAATTCTGTTCGAAGTGCTGTTATGCGTGAACAGGTATACCTTCCTCTTTTTTTATTTGTCTAGTCAAAGTTTAGGGGCAAGGGTGGGTACATCCGAGTATCCGACCTTCCTTTACCCCACTGTAGGTGGGAGCCTTTACGGCACTGGGGTAATGTTGTTGTTGTTTGTTGTATGCTTTTCAGGAAATTGCCACCCAAAAAGTCATACAAAGTCAAAGGTTAGCATTTGATGAAAATATTTATTTGTTTGTACATAAACCACAGGATTAATACTTTCTTAAATTTATCTCTACCAGAGAAGCGAGATCTATTGGTGAGCACAGGGATAGCACAGACCTTTTCTCTGGCAGTCAAGACCCCAATACTTTAAAGGTTGTCATCTTGTCTGTTTTTTTCCTTTGCCATGCTTAAAGGTAAATATGTACATGGTTTGACTGGCAAATTGTATGTGCTTACTCTTGTGTGCTCCATAGGAGCATTTACTGAAAATTACTGCAGAGCATCGTACTGAAATGGCCTTGAAGCATGGAAGGTCTGTGTCAAGCAAAGAAGGTTAGTTTAGAGGTTTCTTCTAGTTAACCTGAAATTGTTTGTATTCTAAATCCTTAGCTCACTGTGCTAGTAGATCAAACAAAGTGGGAAACCTGTTTTTTTTTTCTTGGACAGTGTTTTAAGTAACATCCATTGAGAATCAATCATGGCCTCTTAGATAATGTTAACTATTAACGTAGAGACTAGGAGGGTAAATGGGAAATAAATGCATTACATTTAATTTGTTCTTCTAAGTTGCTCATCTAGAAAAGTTAATCATATCTTGATTAGGATGACAAAGTTGTTTTCTGAAAGTATTGTCGTTTTTCACTTCCTGGGAAGGATTAATTATCTTTTCTTTTTAATACAAATTATCTTGGAGGGCCAATGCTGATGGGATTCTAAGGCAATACATACTTACATAGGAATGTTACAGTCAGTGGTGTATCCCGGGGGAGGGGGGCTGTCCCCACACAACCCAATATATATATAATATTTATGTATGGGTGCGTTTAGGCTTGCATTAATATCTTAATGACGTAGTGTCATTATAACTTTTTGTAGTGTAGTTGAACATATCTCATGTTTTTTCCAAATAGATGAGGGTTCAAATCCATCATAATACTTTTGGAGCATTAGTTTTTATCTTAGCATCTTTAAAGCTTTAAACCAATTTAAAACAAACTTCTATAGTTATGTTTAATTTTATCTCAATTTCATAGATTCAAATTAGTTTTGAGTTTTTAATAATTGAGAACTTTAATCTAACAAATAATTTATAGAATATTTGTAATTACATCTTCACATACACATAATAGAAATTGATCCCCTTTTATACATACTTACGTTTGCAACTTTTAAGTTAGTTATAATTACATAATTCATCCACTCTTATGATTCATTTTATATGGACATATTTTTAATAAACTAAAAGTTGCCTCGTTAGCATTTGTTCCTAAAAAGGCAAAGCTATATCAATCAAGATATAACTTTCACCCCCCAGCAAAAAGCCTGAATACGCCACTGGTGATAGTAATAGCTTTAGCAATGTGAACAACGATATTGGCATTGATCTGAAATACATATGAAAAAGATAAAATTGACTGGAATTAACATATACTCTATGAGGCTATAGTAGCTGTGGCTATTTGTTGGAAACTAATATTGTGGTGTTCTTGTAGGGACTTCTCTTGTTAGTGCACTGTGCACTCATAATCTTTGATATTGTGACACATGACTTTATAGTTACTTCATGTATTTTGTGTAATTCGGATTCTTTATTAGTTTTACAGAACATCATTCCAACTTGAATCTAGCCCCACATTATGAGTCAGATTCTATAGAAGTGCTAGAGAAAATATTTCACCTTAAAAGCTCAAGAGGGAATGCTGTGGTTATTAAGAAAAGTGGGATTGTGTGGTTGATATTAAATTGGTAAAGTGTGAAAAGTAAAAATGAATGGCGACCACCCAAATATTACCAAATGTGGTATGGGACAAACTTAATGAAACAGACAAAAAAGGTAAAATGAAACAAAGGTAGAGGGACAAAGGGTGAATTATGCTTTGAATTATGCTTCCATCTCAAGCTTTTTTTGAGCGTCCATCTCAAACTTTTAAGAAAGTTAAGCATGTGGGAATCTTGGGACGGTTGTTTCAGAATAGCCCACTTAACTGTTACATGTATCTAACAGAGAGAGAGAGAGAGAGAAAGTGAGTCGATTGCAGTTTACTTAAATGTAGGGAGTTTCAGCATTAGGAGATTGAGAGCCTTCAATTGATATGCATCTGAACTGTATCCTAAATCTGACAATTATTTTAGGACGTGGTAAGATTCTGTCACACGGCATCATTAGTAAAAAAATGATATTTCTTATTTCCAGGCAATATGGAAATTGGGAATGGGTATGGTGTTCCTGGTGGTGGTGCTTATTATGGTTCTCTGAAGACGAGTATCATTACCTCCAGTAAGACTGCTTCATTGCTATTTTGTTGAAGTGCCTTATCAAAATTGTTCTAATTTGATCTTTTCTAATTTTCAAGCAGATCCTGTCCTTGGCCATTCAACAATTGAGTCCAACCCAGAGTGCAGTGGGGATTCTGGATGTAATTCTGCAACTAAAGAGTTGCCTGAATTTCTCAAAAAGAAATTGAGAGCTAGGGGTATTCTGAAGGGTGATCCAACAATGGATTATACATCGCCTTCCAATGTATGCTAATATCTTCTCCTCTGGCACATATATATATTCCTGTTACTTCCATTAGGAATCCAGGATCTGTTTTTTGGCAATATGTTTTGTTTTTAACTTTTTGCTTGAAACATATACCTAATTACCTATATTCACTGTTCTAAAATTATTCAATCCAGAGATCAGACATGTTGCCATCTCAGAAGATGCTGCTTTCAGAATTGCCTCCAGGGTGGGTAAGTAATTAGGTGCTCTTATTATGTGCGCAAATTTTTCTTTTTGTTGCAAGGACTGTCCACCTATCCAAGTCATGCTTACAGTAGTGGTAAATAAAACTTGTACTGTGGTTAAAAGTTGACAATAAGAGTCGAGTTAACTTTTAAGTTTATGTGTGAAAACTGAGATGTAGTATGGTTAAAAGTTGGCAACGAGAAATACATTTAACTTTAAAATTTGTAAGTGTGAAAAGTGAGAATGCTGGTTACATAGAATTATGTGCCCAGATTCCAGAATGTCTATTACTCAATATTTGAAACCTAGATTTAAATAGGTCAAGAAAGCTTTGGCTAAGCAAATTCTATCGACATTCTCTGCCAAACAATGTTTTGCAATTTGCATCAGCTTTGGATTTTGTATAAAACACGGCAGCCTCGTAGAAGTTTTAGGTCAAATTCAGTGCTCATTATATTGAAAATAGTATTCATCAAATGCTCATGCAGATTGAAGCCCATGATCCTGCAAGTGGTGTGGCGTACTATTATGATGCAAATACAGGAAAAAGTCAGTGGGAAAAGCCTATACCTCCACAGATTCCTGAAAATTGGCAAGAGCTTGTTGATGAAACAACAGGTAAGTCATGAACTTACCAATTACCAATGCTGTCTCATGATAATTATGATTGCTTGGAGATGTAGAACAGTGACACGACTATTTGGAGTTATAATTTGGATGGTGTGGAGGTAACACCATTTGGGTTGCCGCAATAGTCTTGGGTTGATATTTGAAATTTGGATGTTGTGACAATCCTTTGAGTTTATGCCTTTATGGTACCATTCTGTTATTGGAATTTTTTCATGATATCAAGAAAAAGAAAACTGTTCAAGGAGTAGTGCTCTTAATAGTGTGAAAACTTATTTTGTTCGATTGAACTGTCAACACAGAACTTATCACCTTCTGTGGAGCATTACCTACTTGATTTGATGCTAGTGCTCTTGATAATTTGTCATGCACTTTTAAACTAAACCATGATAAGGTCTTTCCCTCAAAAATTTGTTTTTGGTTTAGGATCACTCCCATTCTGCACCCTCTTGTGTATAAATAAATAATCATAAAGTATGAAATTTATCTAGGGATATTCTCAGATGCTTAGCTAACCGTCAAGTATTTGCTTTTTGCCCACCAATTTTGATATATGTTTTCTTGAACACCAAAGAACTGTGTGAAGAGTTAGTTAGATGGGAAATTGTACCTACCGCTGCACAGTGTTCTTTCTCGTCCTCATCCATAATTCTTGAAATTTGTTGTACAGGTCAAAAGTATTACTATAACACCTTGACCAATGTATCTCAATGGGAGAACCCCTTTACCTTGAAGCAGGCTGCCCTACAGTTGCATGATGCAAATACAACTACAAATATGGGGCAACAGTCATCCGTACTGCCAAAATGCAAGGGATGTGGTGGATGGGGCGTGTCCCTTGTGCAATCATGGGGGTACTGCAGATACTGCACCAGGTATTGCAATATATTGTTTTCATTTGCTGCCTGTTTTTTAAACTAAGTTTGGCAAAAAAATTTCTTTTCATTTTTTAGTTTTTTCCATGTTTTTTTATGACACGCGACAACAAATTTCCCCCCTAACTGGTTGAACTATGAACTCAACAGTTGACACATGAAATAAATGTTCGACTAACAATTGGCATGATTCTTTTATACTTGATAGAATTCTTTTTATCAAGTGAGTGTGTTGCATCTTTCCATGCCATTCTGGGTAAGTAACATTTGAAATGACCTGGAAAATCTCTTGATGAGATTTTACTATTCTATAAAATGTAAGAAATTACTGCTAATTGAAAGTCATTTGTTAGAATATGTAGGGATATTTTTACCATCCTTCCATTCTTATTCTTCTGGATTTTCTAAATATTGCATCTGATATCTAACTGGTGGCGCTTGTTAACGTGTGACCGAGGCATATTTATCCAACATTAAACAATATACTAAACTATAACATTTAATTATAATGGAAATTTATCATGACTGGCAAGTGGCACCTCAATATTTCCCATTTGCATGTGTTGCCTTTTTCTTTTTAACAATGGTATCAAGCAGCTTAAGGAACTAATGTGATAAATATCAATCTTCATTCATTTTCGTTTCTTTATACCTGAAAATATTAAGTAATGCTAATGCATGCTTGCTACACAAGTGTCATGCGATTCAATTAACTAGTTTGAATACACGTGTGTGTGCTTAGTTAGTGTTGCATGAAAATGGTTCCTTATCACTGATGTTAGTAGTTACTCTTAGTGGCTTGACATAAAACACAGCCTTGATACTAGTGCACCAGCCCAGCACCTAGGCTGTGCTAGGTGGCCTAAGTGGGGTTTAGAAAATTCACATTTTTAATTTTTATAAACAATTATGTACATATATGATCGAACCTCAAATTTTCAATGGGTCAGTGAGATTTCATTATTTAGTTGATATTGTTCACATGCAGAGTTCTTAACCTTCCCCAGCGTCAGTATCTGTTGGAAAATGCTGAAAGCAAACAGCACACAAATGCTTCAGGTCCAAAGGAAGATTCTGAAAAGAAATTTCAGAAGCAGAGGTATTCCAGTCCTCTTTGTGCAAGTTCCCTTCATTTCTTTGCCTCTCTTTGGGCTTTTAGCATTGCAACATGTCAGAACCTGCAGAAAATTATTCTAACAGAACACAGAATTGAATCAAGAACTCAAGGTAACTTTTATTGAATTTCCTTAGGCAACCTGGCCGAAGCCCCCAAATGAGCCGAAGCCCCCAAATGAGCCGAAGCCCCCCAAAAGATAGAGTCAATACTCTGATCTTCCCAGTACAGACTACAAGTTAAAAACAGCCCCCTAACTATTCCCAGCTATCTTCTATTTATAGTATTCCCCACTAACAGAATGTAGTTATTAGCTACTAACTACTCTATTATTATTCTTTTTCTCATATATTATTATTCTAAGTAGGTCCCTAACACAACATGTGCAAGTTTCTTTCATTTCTTTTCCCCTCTAGTTCCAATATATGGGAGATGTCCTAGAAAAGGTTGTCCTACTAAGTTGTAATTAGTGAAAGACCATTTTAGGATAATACCTTCCATTCCAAGACTTACCGTATTAGAAGTACTATATTTGACTGCGTGTATCAGGAAAGCTCTCCCCCAAAAAAAGGTGGGGGTGAAAAATACAGACACCCAAGGATAAATTCTACCCTGATATCTACTTCCGTACTTCGCCTCACAAGTCACAACCAATGTTATTAATGGCGGATTGTAGATGGCCATACTTCCTTCATAAACTGCCATTCTTCACAAACTTTTATGTCATCTGAAAAACAAATCTGCCTCACCATTCCGCTATGGTGCCAAGGTGGCGCCACATCGCTGCTTATGACCAAGGTTTAAGAAAACTATTGGTGCTTGTGCCTTGGGGCAAGGCGTTCAGAAAAGGTTAAAGGTTATGGGGGAAAGAGCCTCATGGGCGGAAAATGAGGGCTTACGACCTACTACGGTGGTGGCCGTTAAGTGCAACTTCAACAGTTCAACCCACCTTTGTCCATTATTCTAATATTTAATTATTTTCTAGGTTAATAGCTTTAATAAAAATCAAAGCCTTGCGAACCAAAGACGTTTAGATTCTGATGTAGAACTTGTAAAGTTGTAAAGTATGTATATGTTTACGAATGCATGCCAGGCATTCCTAAAGTTAGGTTTGTTTTGTCTGAACGGGATTCATTGACAAAAAAAATAGCCTCTCACAGGGGTGGTATAAGAGGGTGGATACAAGTAGCAAAGTTGAAAATTAATAGGTTGAATTGTTCAAACTCTGCTTGTCGCTGTGGATGTCAGTGTGCTTGACTGGACAATTGGGGTGTGCAGGTCTAGTTTCAAACCACCCATAGGAAAAGGTGATCGGCGAGATAACCGCAAGCGTACACACTCTGAGGATGAAGACTTGGATCCTATGGATCCAAGCTCTTACTCAGATGCCCCCAGGGGTGGTTGGTAAGTATGAAGTTTTACCGTCAAGGCTATTTTGTAAATAATAGTATATGATGGCTAATCAAATCCGCACTTCCCTTTTATAATATGCATGCAGGGTTGTAGGACTAAAAGGAGTGCAACCACGGGCAGCCGACACAACTGCCACGGTGAGTAGAGTTTGTCATTTCATTTATGCAAAACACAGTCTCTAAAATAATGCTAAACTATCAATGCTGTTCATGCATACAAACGTACATTGACTAATAGGTTAAGAGTTCATCTGAGAAATGGAAAACAAAACATGAATAATGATGATAGTAATTTTCTAAAAGGTGTTGATGTATCATGAACAATGCTAATAGACTAAAATTGAACCAGAATTGCTAGGTTTTAGATATTGTATATGCATTTTTTATTATAAGTTCGTTAAAACTTAAAAGAGAGCTAGTTGTAAGGCTTTTGGGACTAAGGCTTGGATGTTGTTGTTATTTAAGTTATGAGGCTTTCGGGCTATTGAAATGTCCATTACTTTTATTAGTGTGCAATCAAATGTCAATGGTGACATTGCTCTGTAGCTCTTGACACGTTGCAATCTTGTTACATGATCTGATGGATTGTCTGCAAGTTTTGCATGTAGTATTTGTCATATGCAATTCTCATGGCATGGATGATATCGCCTTTTCAATATGAACACATTAATCCGAGTGCTAAATAAAATTTTGTGAATTAATGATTTCAGGGTCCGCTCTTTCAACAGCGACCGTACCCATCGCCTGGAGCAGTATTGCGGAAAAATGCTGAAATTGCATCATCACAAAAGAAAACGCCTAAATCGCATAATATGATGGCAGCAATATCAAAGAGAGGCGATGGTAGTGATGGACTAGGGGAGGCTGATTGAGCAGTCTTGTACTCTTGTGTGAACCTTGTTTGCTGACATCCGTCTGGAATTAATTTATAGTTACTACATAACCTTGTGTAAATTAATACTGTCATCCAGTCCTACACATGACACCACACCAAGTATAATTCCTTTTTATTATATTATCAGTGCATAGTATTATACGGCCTTGAGCCGTATAATTTATTAGTACACCTGGAATTATAGTATAATTCATCATTCGTGTTGGAGTCCCAAAGATCGAGCTCTCTTCTCACCATCAGTGGGCGGTGGTGGGCGGTCCGCATCGGATTGCACACAAACAGGGCTTGCCCTCCCGACGTTGGTTGGGCATCGATGACAAGTGACAACAGGCTCGAGTGGCGACCTGTAATTGGCCGATACCAGAGACGGCTAGGTGACAAATCATTCGGCTCCTCAAAGGTAGCAAGTTTCCCTCATCGACCTGATAGAACTTGGCTGACTCGGAATAACACGGTTGAAATAAGTAGGTTTACGCATAAAAGGGCCAATAGACTCATGGCAAACACATCCTTTCACTCCCAAAATTGATCAGGCGAAAGAGCAGTCTTCATAGGCGAGTCATCAATTTCAGCAAACGCAAAATGCAGCTGCAAACATAAAAGGCACAATCCAGTAAGATATCAACCTATTTTTATGCCTAGATTAGAATTGACTTCCACGATCTTAATATTTTTGGAGGTTTGTTAGAATTATTGAGAAGGGGTTCGACTCTCTATTTATACCTGAAGGGAGAAATGGATGTTGAATTAATTGTTTCCTATCTAGAATTACAACAACAATTACTTTAATGATTGCTAACACAGCTAAGGAGCCAATGCACACGATTGAATATGTTTCATGTGAGGTTTTATTAGGTAGCACCAGTGCAATTTTTTATTGGGATCCCTGATGCAATGAATGATTGAATGGACGAGGATAGCCATCTTTCTTATTAGCTCAATTCTTCAATGTCGGAAGCTTTATTGCAAGTTGATATTATGCATTGGGATTTTGTTGAGGATTCTTTATAGATGATATCTATTGAGGATGCTAATAATTCTGAGCTATTTCATGTACATGATCCTTCATTAGCTTTTTTACAACGGATTTTCTTGAGACTACTATGACTAACAGAGTGAATTCTTTCTTCCATTTTTTACTCAAAGAATCCTTGTTGACTTGGGGATCGGAAGAGACCTGCTGAAGAAGTGGAAACTACTAACTACTAAGTGTGCATTGGAGAGCGAGAAGATAACCCTATTTCAAGGGATGCTTTCCCGATAACATTTTTTTCTGATTTGCCCTTATAAATTTATAATAATAGCACATGAGTACGCTTTCATAGATTGCTTAGCGACCATTTGTTTTTGCAATTCACACTCCATCAGTCCATCTACTCCAGTTAGGGGTGTTCGACCGGGTCGGAACCGGGTTCGGTATTGTGTCGATCAGTTAGCACTCTATTATCTACTTACGGATGAGGGAACATGCCCCTCGGTCACTACAAAGCAAACATAATTAGCGGCATCACATGTCCTTTTCATATGTTGCATGGGCTTCACCTTTAGACTAGCTAACCTTTACTACTCTGGTATTTAATGCACTTGACATTTATTATCACTAATCACTATAAATAAGCTCATTTTGGACGGTTATAGGAGTTCGAAAATCATTTATTACAAGACATCTCTCTATTATTAGTTTTATCTTCTATCTAGAATATCTCTAATGGTTTCGGGTATAACTATAAAATAGAATTGAATTTCTTAACATAATATTTAGGCTATCTCATTTTATGGAATTTAGAATTGAATAGAATATTCCTAATATTTATGGAAAAATCAATTTTACTTCATTTTTTATTAGAGGCTTATATCATGGCTATCTCCATTCATTACATACATTTTTTTTGTTTGGATGTCTCAAAAATAAGAACACTTTCTTAAATTAGACCCGATTAACTTTTTACTTTTCTACCTTATCACTTTATCTATCACTTCACCCTTTATTTTTTGCGAATTCATTTTTTTCTTTCTAACTTGTTAGAGGTTAGAATTTTAAACAATCACTTATTCTTTATTTTTAAAAAGTCTACACCAAACCCGCATCTTACATTATGGGATGAAGGTAGTACATATTTAATTGTTTCTTTGTTTAGTCGTTACTATATATTTGGCCGAAATGATACAATATCATCAACACGTAACTATTTGTTATGGTCAAAAATTCAAAATACAAGTAATTATTTGTTATGTTTAGTACTTCGTAACACTCTTTGGCTTTGTTTGGGCATGGCTCATTACATTCATTAGTAGAATGATGAAAAGAATAAGCTAAAAATGCATAGGGCCTCTGCAAGTATCAGAGCTAGAGTCACACTCTCTATCTGTCAGCTTATGATTAAAGTCCAATTTACATCCTCCCATCTAACTTTCCGGTCGGTGTTGGGGGACTCTCAGGGATGAGGTGTCATCCTTTTTTTATGAAAAAGATGACATCTAACTGTCAGCTTGTGATTAAAGTCCAATTTACATCCTCCCATCTAACTTTCCGGTCGGTGTTGGGGGACTCTCAGGGATGAGGTGTCATCCTTTTTTTTTATGAAAAGAATAAGCTAAAAGGATAACATTTTTTATACATTCTTTTTACACAAGTAGATTTTTTTTTTTTTTGTGAATAGCTAGATCACAAACATAACATGTGTTTGCCTGCATGTTTTGTCTAAAAAAAAGCCCGCTCACACAATCGTTTTAAAAAGTGACCCGGCCCGACCCGGACCCAGTGGTAACTCGGGTCGGTCCCGGGTCTTCTACCAAAAAACAAAAGCTCGGTCAGGCCCGGTCCCGGGTCCATGACTAATAGTACGTACTAAAGTTTAAATATATTGAGTGATTCATAAGGAATACTATACCACTATAATAAATTTGGGAGTTTTCCTAAGAGATTTTTAATAGCCTTGTAAAAAATATAATTACACGGTCACTAATGTTACAATAAAAATACTGATTAAATAATTTCTGTCAAGTTTGGAAAATACTGTCATGTTTGAAACCGGGTACTACCAAAACATGACAGTAATTAATCCTATTTAGGGAATAAAAACACGACAGTCATATTTTGAAAATTTCAAACTTTTTTAGTCTTATTTTGTATAATATTCTCATTAATTAACTATTTAATTTTTTATTGAACGTAAATGCTACGGAGTATATTATAAGCGAGAATGAAACATAACTAATTATGAAAATATAATTACATTCTTAATATGATGATTATCAACATCAATCAAAGGAAGAGCTAAAAGAGGATTAGCCGAAGAAGTGTGGATCGTAACCGTTGGAAGAAGTTGCAAGGATGGAATAAGCAATAATATGGCCAATGGATCCCCAGGAGAGAACATCCACGATGTTGAACCCCACCGGATCGTTCGATTTCAGCAGACTCAGATACTCCTTCGCCCGCGTATCCCCTGCCTCGAAGTGCGACACCCCGTTCTGCTCCGGCAGCCCCTGCTTCGCCACGTTCTCCCTCTGAAAGTCGAAGAACACGAACCTCCCCATGAACAGCGACAGTCCTGTGCTCAGGCTGATCACCACCTGCGGATTCAGCTCCGCCTTGACGTTGCTGCGCAGCCGCCTCTTCTCTTTCCTGGAGTTGAAGTTGATGATAGATCTGGATGAGGAGATGTCAGCGATGGACTTGATCCTCTCGCCGCTTCGGAAGATCGGCGTAGATAGCAAAGCAGTGGATGCTGCCGCCATATTTTGAAGCTTCTGTTTTGAGTATGGAGTGGAATTTGCAACACAGAGGATAAAATGAAGTCTGAATCCTGAGGACAGGATTGAGAGAAGGGATATTGATTTGGGATAAGCCAGCTGGCGTTCCTTCATTGGATTGCTCTTCTGGATTAGGGGTTCTTCACTTCTAACTAGGATTGCACTTCCATGGTAAAAATACGGATGTAGTACATTGTTTGGATTAATTTATTTTTTAAGTTGCACGTAAATAATTCGTTGCAATACTTTATAAAAGCAAATTCAAATTATTTTATCACTCTCCCTAACATAAAATAAAAATACTTTACATGGTAAAACGTTGAATTTTTTTTAAAAAATGTCGTACAGTTAACATTAAATAATCAAGTCAAACAGTGTAAACTTTTTATATCGGGTAAAATAATATTTTACATCCTACTAAACACACATACACAGTATGTATTGAGTCTGTATCCATAACTTAACGAAAGTATTTGGTTTATTGAAGTATTTTAGAAACTTTCGATATGTGTATCCTTAGACCGATATACCCACTTAATAATTTAACTAATATTTCACCCGAGATAATATAAAGATAAGCGTATTAATAGAAGACTACAACTCCCCGTTCTTCAAATGCACTTCATATATGAGCAAATTAGAACTTAGTTTTCGGTCTCATTTGACCAATCCTCTTTATTATGCAATGTTCTAAAAGGCACTAGTCAGGCGCCAGTCTAGCGCCTAGCACCTGGGCAGCTAGGCGTGCGCCTAGGAGGGGACTACTTGGAGACATAAAAATTGCACTTTTATCTATATTTTGCATAAATATGTCAAGTAAAATTGTATTTTTGTGTGTATAGATACATATATACACATACATTAACAAAAATGAATGATAAAAAAATAACATTTAATCATACATAGTATATGATAACTAATCGCTTAACTTCATTGTGTTATAAATATAAATAATAATAAAATTTTGGTATATATACAAACGTATATAGTTTTTATCTTAATTTACAACTTCATTTCTTTATATTCGTGGCTAAAGTTAAAGTACTTATATCGCTTAGAAATAAAAATTAAAAAGTAAAGTAATGTTCGGAGAATCTGGACGGCCTAGGTGGCCGATTAGGCGCTCTGGGCAGACAACTAGGCGCTCTGGGCAGACAACTAGGCGCCAAAGGCGGCTGACTAATTCACCTAGACGGCAAGACAATTAGTCAGAGCGCCTAGGCGAAAATCGGAGCGCCCGACCACCGCCTAGCGCCTAGACGGGGATTAGTCGGATGCCTAGAACGATTTTTAGAACAGAGGTATTATGTACGTAAGTGATAAAACATAAGATGCGAGACATTGAAGATAGTTCTGTGAGTATGGAAGGT